TCCCTCAAAGCCAGCTAGATAAATATCAAATCATTCTGAACACCCAGGAAAATTAAATGTTTAAAATTTCATTTGCAATAATGTCAACAAACATCAAATAGCTGAGAGTAAATCTAATGAAAGAAGGGCCTCTATATGGAACTATAAAGCATTGGCTTGAGAAATTAAAGATCTAAATAAATGGAGATTATGTTTGTGTGTATATATATGTGTGTGTGTGTGTGTATATATATATATATATATATATATATATACTCAATACTATTAAGATGTTATATTCTAGGCAATCCAACCATAAAGCTATTTTTTTAAGAAATTGATGAGCTGATTCTAAAGTGAAACTGCAAAGGATCCAGAATAACAACAAAAAATCTTAAGAAGAAAGTTGGAGAAATTATACTACCCAACTTCAAGACACACTACGAAGCTCAAGTAATCAAGACAATGCTATTCATATAATAGTAGACAAACAGATCTATGGAATAGAATGGAGAGTCCAGAAATAGGTTCATTATTTTCAACAAGAATGACAGAGTTTTACGTTCATAAAAACAACTAATTCCTGAAATGGCATACATATATTAGAGTCCCAGTAACAATTGTATTAGGATACTCTTAAACCAAGTATGTTTGACCAAAGTTTTTACCATTTCCCAAATTCAATGGATTCCATATTTTGATGAGTAAGCAACAAAGCAACAATGCTTCCTCTTACATAAATTGTGGATTAAGAAGTTTTAACTTCCAGAAAAAAATTTTAAGTAAACCAAAATGTGAACACCCAAATATCTTCCCCTTGCAGTTGCTAGATTCAGTTAAAGAATCAGATGAAGTCACACCTATTTACTTCTGTACAAGCCTATCCCAGTGGTTTGAGTTGGCCTATCCACTTATGACCAGGCTTCCTGCCATTGTCCTTTTTGAAGTTAATACCCATCTTTAAACTGAAAATGTCCTCTGCAGTTAAAGCTGAACCAATGCAGAAGCATTCTTAATGCTGTCAGTGTGCTGATTCCTTTGAGAGAATTATGTGGCTAGGGAAATGAAACTACGAAACTGTTTTCACTACCCTTGGTCACAGGAAGACTATAGGGATCTAGTGAAGAAATTGTGTATTACTCAAAAACTCTGAACAGTGGTATTAACAACATGTGCATTCAATACTACCCCATAAAATTACAAATCTTAATTACCAAGGAACCTAAATGACCCATTCAGACTCTGACAGAGGAATTATCTTTGTGAAATGAGGAACTTTTAAGAGAATAAAAGCAGTCATGAAAGAATGTTCTAGAATGACAGATGGACAAAATTTAAAATAACAAACAAAACAGGAAAAAGTCACCTGATTATAAGGAAGTACTAAAGCCTTTAATGACAACTTCAGAGCAGTGTTTCATATTCTCCTGTGGAATGTTGCCATCAATCTCCACGCTTTGCTAATTGTCATGTAAAACTGTGTTCAATGGTAGACTATGAAAGCTTCTAAATTTCTTTGCCAGAATGGTTTCAGAATCATTCTGTCTGCTGACACCCCCTTCAACCATAGGATTATTAATATAATCAATGATCCTAATAATTAAGCACTACAAAATTGTTTCCACAACTTAATGGATTGACAATTGGATATGTCTACTAATTTCAGTATTTCCACACATGATAATGATGACTACTCTCTCTTGAATTCATTTAACATTCACTATACCAAGTCCTCCAGTTTCCCCTTCTACATTCCTGATGAATATTCTGCTTTTCAGGCTCCTCTTCTGATAATTCCTTAGTATTTCTTCATATTCCCTAGCATTTGTTCCTTAGTTTCCTTCTTCCCCTTTATATTCCCTCTAGATACTCCCATTCATATAACTATTTTCATCACCTAAGTGACTCCTAGTTCCCTATTTCTAGCCCTAGGTTCTAAAACCCCATTCCTATCTACCTATGACACATCTCCACCAGAAAGCCAAAAAAACGTTTCAGATATACTGCTCAAGGGAAAGCCATATTCATCAACCCCTTCCGACTTGCTGCTTTTCCTTGGAACCAAGATTTCTACAACCAACTGTAAAAATGACACACTTGAGAGTCAGTGTGGGCTCCTCTCTCTACTACCTTCCTCTTCCCATAAACTAATAAGAATTGTCTGATCTCTTTCACATGGCAATAGGAGCTTCCATTCATGGTTTCTACTTGCTCTTCTAGCTTCATCTCCTCCTTCACCTCCCTAAATCTTTTATTTAAATGTCATTCTATGCCTACAACATGCACTTTTTCTTTACAACTGCTAAATTCTCTTACCTAACTAAACTGCAAATTCTACAGTCTCTCAGACCTCAAGCATCTCCCTTCTTGGAACCTGAGAATTTGTTTCACATTGTGTTTATTGATGATAGAGATCAAAGTAACAGTTTGGTACTAGGGGAAAATCCTTGCATTACTGTTCATAAGCTAGTAGAGCAAATAAGACTACACATAATTACAGTGTTGTTTGCTAAGTACCAGGATGAAATAACCACAGGGTGCTATGGTAGCAAAGGAGGCATACAATCATTGTGTGTTACCACTATCAGTTTTGCTTGGACTGGGCCTCGTAGATAAGTAGGAATTCATCAGGTGGGCCAGTTGGGTCAGAGGAAGGCATTAGATATCAAGGTACATTCTGGGAACTGCTAGTGCCGGAAATGAGGGGTAAGGTATAAGGCTGGAGGGAATCACATTATGAAGACCTCAAAAAGGCAAGATAACTAGCAGCCATAAGGAGGGCACATTACAGAGGCCAGGTCAGAGGCAAGGAGACAATCTGGAGGCTACTGCATTATGCCTTGCAAGAAATGATAGCCTTTAAAAAGCAGTGGCAGTGAGATGGGACAGCAGGGTACAGAAGAAACACTTATCCTTGCTGCAGATACAAAGTAACACATTTAATCTTCATAACAAGGCTAAGAGGTGATGTTCCTATTTTTACACAAGAGGACTCAAACTCCTAATATGTTACTTGCTCAAGATGACACAGCTTACAAGTAGGAGGAGCAGAGATTCAAACTTCAAAGATCGTGCTCCAAAGTAGCGTAATGTGCCAATATCTCAAATGCATGTCCAAGTATAAATCAACAAATCATATATTTACAACTAATTCTGCCCTGTTCGACTTACCAGAATTAAGTCCTGGATAAACTTCCTCTTCCCATAGAGAAGCATAGCAAGTGTAGAGGAAGGAGACAGACTCCAGCAGGTTTAGGGTTACATACAGTAAGATTTCAATATTGTTCTAGGCTGTCTACAATTTTTGTAGTATATCCAAATTCTAAAGTCATTTTATGGACAAATTTATTTACACATTCTCCCAATTAGTAATTCTGCATGGGCCACAAGGTCTAAAAGTAATCTTAATAACCTGTAAAATGTCCACTCTGCCCTCTTATAGTGCTGGGCATGTAAAAAATGAAGTATTGATCTAAAAATAAAACAAAGTGAAAATGTTTAAAATGACATCACTATTCTTAAGCAATATAGGCTTCACTGGGTGGTAAAAGATTCAGCATTTTAAAACTCCTTTGCCTAACAAACATGCTATATGTTATAGAACATACATGTGTTTGGAAAACTTCAAAAAATGCAGAATAAACCTCTATTAATGGTGTTAAGCTAAGTGAATGCAGTATTCCTTCAAGGTTTCCCTTCAGTGATCAGTGAATGGATTTCTTATTCAAAGTTACTTTTCTTTCAAAAAAAATTATCTAAGGTTAGAAAAGACCAATTCCATATATATCCTACACACAAAACCAATCTACCAATTTGAAGTATGAGTATTAATACAAGCAACATGGAAGCCCTAAAGTTTTGTTCTCTAATGGTTACAAAGGAGAGGGCTTAAGTTGCCTAACTCAGTTCCAATGCTTTCTTATTTCAGAATTGAAGATTTACTTTAGAATTAAGGGGAACACGGGAAGATCTGAACTATTTTATGTAAAAAGCCCCCCAGTCCTCCATATCCAGTGGTTTTTTTTTTTTCATTTTTTTCAGGTGAATTAATAGCAGCCATAAATAAAATAGTGAGGCCAAATGTGCAATACCCACACCAACCTGCGAACGCTGCAAAAAAACAGAGTGTCCATCTCCAAGTGGCAGACAGGTTTCAACTCACATGGCAACTCCAATGGATGACGTAGCTACTTCCAATACGAGACTGGGGGTAAATTGGCCAAAAGAGATCATAAAGGTCTGCCAGGGGCACAAGAGCATGTGCTACTCTTGACCTCATCTGCAAGACTCTGTACTCAAAATACTTTTGTTTCTACTATGGGTTATTTCATTATTGTTTCAAATCAGATAAAGCATCCTGCTATGAAATATAACAAAACATGCAAATCAAGGGAAAAGTTTTGTGGAGTGTTTTTTTTTCTGCTATGTCTGACAAAACAAATATTAATATTAATATCAGGGATGGTTTTGGTTAAAATAACAAGGGCTACATTTTTCAGATGCTTATTTTTTAATCTGAAAAATTCAGCATGTATATATATATATATATATATATATATATATACATACACACGTGTATGTATATACACACACACACACACACACACAAATATACTGTTTTAGGAGAAAACAGCATTTCAGCTTGGTGATTTAAGTAATATCAACTACGTATGTTTATTTGTAAAATTTCCCATAGTGAAACATGTTATAGTTACCTATAAACATTCATTTTTCACTATTTACAATTTGAGTAATCATGGAATGTTTGTATAATGCAACCAGTTGAGTTATAGAAAAGTCACATAAACAATATAAATCTGATGCCCAATCCTTTACACATATGAAATTACTTTCAATGGGTTTTCAAACTGTCAAGTATAAATAGGATGAGGTCAGCAATACTTAAGATGAGGCACTTTGACAATTACCCAAAAAGGTTAAGTGTACAAAAGTGTAAAACAAAACTCTCGGTATTAATCGTACCCCTAATTTCAGACGTAATTAATCTGAGATGGTCTATATTAAGGAATGTTACGAACTTTTATTTCTTGCCCTTCCCCCTCCAGTTGACCCAAGGCAAGTTAACTATGACATACATAAGGATATAGACATCATCACAGACCAGTTAGTGTGCTTACATAGAGAAGAACTAAACACCATGTAAAAACACTGGGTATTTTAGAAAATGACTATTTTAACACAAAAACTTACGCATAATTTTTTCCATAAATGTGTATAAATACATTAGTTTCCCAAAGGCAAAAATGCTATCTCAACCATATTCCTAGACAAAAATGCCCTCAAAGGTATTAACTAAATCAAAATTAATAGTCTATGTACTGTTTTCAAACACTGAATTTTTAATATTCAGAGAAATTAAAATTAAATTTTAATTTTAAAAATAAGAGAAATTAAAAAATTAAATTTACTAATACTTTCTAGATTAGTTTTTTTAAGATTAAAAATAGTAGTAAGGAACAGATGTTTTGTTTTGCTAGCCTTTTGTGAAACACCTTTCAAACATATTATTTGGCCAATTCATTTTTAACCTTAAATCATGTTCTCTGTGTATTAATACTACATCTTTTGGTAGCTAAGATAATAAATACTTGATTAAAAATATTAAGTCCTGTTGCTACATGAATTCACAGTAGTGTCTTTTGCCCCATGGTCAGTTTCAACAGTAAAGAAAAAGGCTGACTCAAATTTTTAAAGGTCATCCAGAAGGGATTAAAATCTGTGGTCCCATTAACAGTTTTAAGTGAAAACAGTTAAATCTCATTAAACTTGTTTATTTCTGGTAGGTTATAATCTGAGTAACTTCTATAGCCCAGATACCCAAATGTTTAATAAACATGAGTTATATAACATTTTAACATACTTAACTGTTCCAAGTCCATTTATCAAAATCACTTGCTCTGTGTATGTACATGAGCATAGCACATGCACTCCTGAATTCCCTAAAACAGTCTTGCTCCCCTAAAGAGAAAAACTGGCTTTCAATCAATATGCTACCAGACACATAAGTCTCTTCACTCTTCAAAAATCAGAAGTGGGCCAATTTTCATATAAATGAAAAGAGGAAATACTTTAGAATGACAAAAATTAAGCTTGGCAAAAGTAGTGACTTTTATTTACAATTGCATGTATCAAGATTACAACAAAAACACTAGTGATACCATCCGAACAAAAGCAATGATTTATTGGTAATGGCAATGAATGGAATATTGACAGTCTCTGATGAGAATCAAGCAATTATCCAGGAGCTGTAGATCTGATTGCAATATGGTCTTCCAGTGTCTTTTGTACCTTAGTGGCTTTCTCCTTTTTTGCCAACTACCTAGAAAACAAAAATAACTTTACATGTACATCTTACTGATTTAGAAATATGTGTTATTTTTAAAATAATATTAACTAATTGGTAATCATCTTTAAAACCTGGTATTAATTTTTATCCCTGTGTTTTGTTCTGTTTTTTTTGGCATGCAGTGTACTTTCACTGTTGAAGCAAACTGTGACCTTCCCTTTCCTCCCAGCCTCAAGGAATTAAAAATAAAACACATGCAGGCTATTTTTGGTTTCCCACACTGTTTAAAGGAAAAGTAATGCAATTTTTCAAACAAGGTTGACAGTTTAGAGAAGTTAATAAAAGGATGATGCTATATGAGTGAAATACATTTGGCAAACTATTTTTAGGCAATTAGAAATCAAATGTCGATCACAAAACACTCTAGAATTAAGAGTATGCTAAACTTATGTCTAAATGCCCAAGATGACAGGTTTCTAGATTTTTCTCTCAATATGTAGATATGCAATGAAAAGAGATTAAAAATGACTAATTTTGCCTAGTTTCTATTTTTAAAAAACCCTGGTTGCTACAAAGGTACTATAAAAAACAAAGAATAAATCTTGTTTCTGTCGATGATTAGAAAAATTCTCCATCGGAAGGCTTTAAAAAATGTCCTAGTTGCTATAAATGTGGCAGCATAAAAATGTTAAGAATAAACTTGGTTTCTACTAACAGTGCTAGAAAACAAATCCTCTGCGGAAAGGTTCTACAATTATGTTTCAAGTAAATAATTTCCTTAAAACCTGAAGTTTATCATTAGATAATATATTCTCACAGCAGAAATGCCTCTAAAGAAATCTACCTGCAAGCTATTGAAGATATATTTGTATACAAAACAATTTCTATGGTGGAAGGCTCAGTCAGTTGAGCATCTGCCTTCGGCTCAGGTCATGATCCCAGCGTCCTGGGATCGAGCCCCGCATCGGGCTCCCTGCTCAGTGGGGAGCCTGCTCCTTTGTCCCTCTCCCTCTGCCTGCTGCTGTGTGCACACGTGCACTCCTTCTCTCTGTCAAATAAATAAAATCTTAAAAAAAGATTTCTATGTACATTTAATTGTAATGTAATTTTCATATTTTAACTGATTCTGTTCCAAATGGTAGTCTTAAGCAAAACTCATAAAGGTCTTCAGTACATGTCTGGTCTAAAATAGAACGTGGCCGGGTCAATGCCATTCATGAGAGAAGATTTAAAATGCCTTCCACTTGATTCCCAATCATATGTCAGACATGCCATTTTCCCGACCTTGAGGAAAACCAGTTTTATTGCTTTAAAAGATCTCCTCTCTGATCTACGAAAACCATATGTTAGAAAGCCCAAAAAGCCAGAAAGATACTAAAGAGATAGTCTCATAAAAGTATGTGGATAAGAGTAAAAAATTCAGGGTTTAAGAGCCAGGTGGGGGGTGTTTCTTAAGAAAGAAGGGAAGGTGCCAATATTTGTATCACAAATAAATTTAAGCAGATAAACACCAACAGCATTATTGATCATTATTATCACTTGGGAACACACAAAACATAGCTATTAGATTAAGCAAAAGAAAAACAACTAATATTAAAAATTAAAATTTTAGCAGATGTGATACAGAAGACACAAATCTGCATACTGTTTCACAGGTTGATAACTCTCAACTTGCCAATATGTATTCTCTGTAAAAAAGAAGAAATTCAGCATTCCAATATGGATTTTCTCATCCCAAACATAAAGAAAGTATTTTATTCATTTTTAAGTGTTTCTATTACACCTCAAACAATAGTCTAGGTACATCAAAATTAGGTGTCAAAAATATTTATTCAGCAAAGAGTCCACTGATCTTCTATGTTAAGAGTTTAAACCAGCCTAACATTCAGTCCGTCTTTCAACGCCTTGAGCTCTCTTGGGTAGACAAAGCAGAGGATGTGCCCATAATCAACAAAAAGACTTTGGGGCTGCAGTTCCATTGAGAAAAGAAAATCCATGTCTCTCAACTACAGACTAATCAATATATTATACTAGTTCTAGTATAAAAAAAGTTGATGAAACTGTTCATATTTGATTTCTAAAATGATTCTATAGTTCCCAAAAAATCAAATTTAAACTTTAGATTGTATTAAAACATCCAAGAACTAGTTAAGTCTGAAAGCATTTACAACATTTTATTGCACTGATTTCTCAAAATATAGTACAAAAATGAAAGATGAGAAAGTAAAAAAAATAAGTCAGGGGAGCAACACGGTATGATAATGAAATTAAAGCACCTAGTTGCAAGCCCAAAATAAAAAGCAAACCAAAACAAAAGGCCAACTGAGGCACATGGCTAGAATCAGATCTGAAGAAAGAGATGGTTGAGGAAATCTAGGTTACAAGGCTGATCCAGATGATAGAAGCTGGAGACATCCTGCACCAACAATGGCGAGAACACGGGAAGGGTGAGAGCAGACAGGTGCTAGATGAGCAGAGAAGCAAGGAGGGGAGTACAGTGAGATAAGGTCAATCTTTATATTACTTCATTTTAAAAACTCTTCTGTTTTTAGTTCATTTGAGTTGCATTAAAAAAGCTGAAAAATAAAGACAGAAATGTTACAAAAATAGCTGATACGGTGAATGGCCAGTTTAGAAAAGTCTATTTTTATTACAGTGACAGAAAATCTGCTCTGCTTTTCACATGCACCTCATTCCCTAAGAAGCAGAAGCCCCTTCAATTTTGCTCATTTTTGTACACTTATATGTTATTACTTTTGTATTAAAATAAAGCAATCCATGTATAGACCATATTTTAGCAAAGAAAATATCTAACTTCTAATTAAGATGGCAAGCTTTTCATGCTGCAACACAAAGAATTCATTTACAACAACAAATAGCCTAAGTGTATATTATAATCTGTGCACAATGCCTATAATAGCCAAAAACAGACAAGTGGGAGGTGTGTTCTAGTCTACCAAATCTTAAAAGTATAACCTTTAAAGTTGTAATAGCATGCAAGGAGGTCTAAGATTTCTATCCACATCCAAGATTCATTAGCATTACCTTAGCTTCTGTCATCTTAGTGACATAAGGAGAAGATCAATGACACTTGGAAAACTAAAATTATCTAGAAACAACTCACACAATATAAAAATGTGAACTGAAAATGCAAAACAATTCTACTTTATCATTCTTTAAACCATTTTTTATAGCTTTCTTCATTACACAAAGAGCTATCAAAGCGTTCCTCTTTGTGGTGATATAATATATGCCAAATCTACTTTGAAATTTTAAATTCTAATGACTATGTGTAATTCCTTTGAAATTCAGACTGACTAAACAAAGTCCTGCACCTTCCCATTTTCATGCCCAACTTCCTACTTTCCATTCTACCTGGAGTACCCCTGCTATCTTTTCCTCCACTGCTATCCATTTCTACTCCCAAAGTTTAGTTCAAGACCCTCCCTCCTCCACAAAACATTCTTGTCCTCTCCCAGCCATTCTTGGGAAGGAGGTATCACTGAGCTAGGAAAGTATGAGAATACTCTCTAGAGGAAGAGACTTGAACTAAGCTTTGATTAATTTTGATCAACTTTCCAAATGTTTATATGTTATCCTTTAAGATAAACTTGCTATACGGAGGGATTATGATTACACCTAGCATAGTACTACTTGTGTAGCATTCCACGTATTTATTATTTCTTTTTCTAGAAACCAAACTCATTTATAATTTTCAATAAGCGACTATCTGTACAAAATCTAAACTGGCCAATTTCAGTTAAACAATAAATAATTTTTTATTGCAATTTTCCTACACCGACGTTGTTAACTTAGCAGAATGCAAAAAGCACTGAAATATTAGCTTGCTTTTGAGGAACAATTCAATGAATGACACAAGTCTCATTCAGAAACCATTAAAAGAAAATGCAATGTAATATTAACATACATAAGAAAATCATTCAGCCAATTAAAATTTATAAAACATTAAAAGCAAGGGACTAACACCAACAAAGGAGTCCATGATGGTATTAAATTATTCTCAAAGCAGTTCTCAGTGTGGTCGAGGCTGGGGGGTCCCTGAGACCCTTTCAGGGAGCATTCAAAACTATTTTCATAACAATGCTAAATCACTATTCGCCTTTGTAATCTCACTGTCTCACAGGTGTACAATGGAGTTTTCCAGAGGCTACATGACCTGTGACAGCAAACCTGACTAAATGTAGAAGCAGGCACGAGAATGAGAAGGTTCTATTAAGCTAGACAGTAAGACAATTTGTAAGGCGTAAAAAAATGATCTTGTTAAATTGGTTCTTATTTTGGAGAATATGTATTTTAATTTAAAATATTATTTGTGTTAACATATAATGAATTTATTATTTATAAATAATTTTTTCATTTTTTGGTTTCAATTTCTTAAAGGGTAAATATTAGATTAAATATAGCCTACATTAACAAAAGCTCTTTTTGGTCCTCAATAATATTTAATAGTGTAAAAGGGTCCCGAGACCAAAAACTTTGAGAACTATTGCTCTACAATAATGTTAAGATAAAAAAAGTATTTAGTTAAATGAATACATAGCCAATTACGAAACATACACAAATACTCCCAAGCAAGAAAAGTCTAACATTTTGCTATGCTAAAGACAGGCCAGAAAAACTAGTTTGGTAAGTTAAGAGAGAGAGGAGCTAGGCCAGAAGGCATAGGAGAGGGAGGGTATTAAAACCAAAGAGGAGGAGACAAATTCTTAGAGGATTATTAACACACATTAGAAAAACTGACTGAATGGCAGGCTGGTAAGAAGATGGTCAAGATGGAGCAGTGGTTACTTTAAGAGAAAAATGGAAATCAAACAGCATGAGCAGAGGTGAGAAGCAAGGCACTTGAGCTGAATTAATGGTATATGGCTTATAGATCTTATGAAGGAATTAAGCTAAAAACAAACTATGCAAGGCAGTTAAAGCCAAATCCAATGACAATTAATTCAAACAAGCATAACAAAGCAGGCGGCCAAAATCTTTGGTGCTCATACATTTTCCCAGTACAGCATATCTCATATCAAAAAAATGTAGATGGTTTAATCTTGGCTACTTCTGACCTTCTGATCTGTCATTATACATATGGCAAACATTTGACATGACAGATCTAAGTACAGAATTGTCCTACAGTTCCCAAAAGTTAATCATGAGACAGGAAGATACAGTAGTTGAAAAATGACCAGTTAAAATATCTATGGTCAAGATTATCCATTTTGTAAAAACCAACATACAATTTTATAAGCTTATCCACTGCAATTTTACAAATTTTTCTGTAACTGTATTAAAATGAGATCTGTAGATACCACCAAAAAGAATAAGAGTTTTCAGGATGCTCCATGGTTTCACATGCCCACCAAACAGGGGTCTGAATTGTTCAGCCGGGTGCCTCTTCCTCCAGGGCACTGGCAGCCCTGGCAAAACTTTCTCCCATATAATCACCTCTTTCTAATCACCTCCAGTTCTAGACTATCAAAGGCAGCCATAGAAATATGGCCACACCTACCTTTCCCGTGCTGCTGTACATTTAATCTGTGTACAGCAACTGGGTTCTGTACTGAGAAAGCTCCTGGTAGCACTTCCATGAGCTGTGGTTGTAATACTTTATGAGTCTCCCTAAGGAACTGGGACCAAGCAGCAGTTGTTCCATGAATGGACAAAATGTTCTCATTCCTAAGGGTCTGGTGTATCTTATAAATCCTCTGCAAACCTTACAACTGTGTCCACAAAACAAAACAAAAACGTACATATACATACATATGTAATCTCCCTGTTCACTGGTAATTTCTTTGCTTGTGCAAGTGGTCTTTCAGCACACAGACATGGTTTAAAGGCATCTGAGTGTAGTAAAACTGAGCCCAATCTTTTTGATTAAAATTATTCAAGTGATTTTAAATATTTTCATTGGAAACAATAATCAAAATCTTAATATCAGCACAATTCTTAAAAATTCACTAATAATAATGATTTTAACTTACTCCTATTTTGACATTATTCCTAACTACTTTCTATAACCAAACAATTATTTAGTTAATTTAAATTACTTCCCTTTTATTTACCTTTTACTTCATTATATGTAAGGACTTTTTTTAATTGAAGTATGGCTGACATACAATGTTATATTAGTTTTAGGTGTACAACATAGTGATTCAACAATTCTGTACATTTTATGCTATGCTCACTTATTTGAATACCATTTGGATATCATTATTAATGGATACCATTATCCACTGGATACCATTTATTTATAGATACCATTATTTGGATACCATTGATTAATAGACACTATATCAGGATTTATTTTTATTAGAAATTATCTTTTAGTTGGCTATCTAAAAATGTGATTAGGAGAATCCACTGTCCTAGTTTAACCTAAAATTTCATGACATGGTATGATTTTGATCTTTATGAAATTACTTTTTTAGTATTATATTTTTACTTCCCCTAAATACCATTTAAAACAAACTTACTCGTTTGAAGTCATTCATATTTGTTGCCTGGACTGGAGTACCAATAAAAGTAAAATACGAAATTCTTGTTGTTTCTTCTTCACCTTGATTGGACTGAACAAATATCTACACCCCCCCCAACCAAAAAGAAAAAAAAAGAATTTTTACATTAATAATTGCATCCTTTTTTCATAAACATGCTTAAGTTTAACTGATTTTGTTAGATTATTAATAAAAATACCTTCCATTCTTTGTAAGGATTAATCCAAACTACATTTAGACTAGTGCTCCCACAGGACTATTAATTCCACTGTTTGCCCTGCTATCCTCACCCTTTCCAGGATGTCATGGCAAGACACCCGCATACGAAAGTTCCAGATAATTCAGTGTGAGGGTGTTGGAGGGGTCACAACTAAATTCTTTACGGAGAATGTTGAAAGAGTATGAAATTATTACAGTGGGCAAACCACTGCTGAAATTTTATTAAAATTGGTTTTTGACTGAGGAAAGGCTCTGCAGTTATTTCTTTCTGATACTCATTCATTCATTCAATTTCCTAAAACATTAAAAGAAAAAACAATATTGGGAATCAGCTCCTCAAACTATACTATACTATAGCCTGCATTTTTTTAAGCTAGACTCTTTATACTTTCTATGTAAAAACTAACCCCTCAGTTAGTAGACAGCAGCTTTACTCACAGATTCTTTTCCAATATATTGGACTTTTATATGCTTTTTTAAAAAAAACAAAACACAATACTCTAGATGCTGTCTACTTAGGAATACTGCCTCTCTTGATTTAGACAACATACTTCTTTCGTTCTCTGATGGCATTAATCGGTTTTTGTTGTATTTATAGGCAAGCACAGATTCATCCCAAACTGAGCTTATCAATTAAATCTTCCAAGTCTGGGGATGCCTGGGTGCCTCTGTCGGTTAAGCATCTGCCTTCGGCTCAGGTCATAATCCCAGGTCCTAAGTCCCACATTGGGCTCCTTGCTCAGCAGGGAGCCTGCTTCTCCCTCAGCCTGCTGCTCCCCGTTTGTGCTCTTTCTCTCCCCCTCCCTCTCTCTGACAAATAAATAACATCTTTAGAAAAAGAAAAAAAAAACTTCCAAGTCTGTAATAGGTAGACTATTAAACCAGCTCTCCATTCATTTGTAATACTCTTTGATAATTACCACAACAGTTTACATTTATGGCTTTTAAAATGCATCTACTTACTCTGACTAGACTTTCTGATCAAAACTGTCATTATGATTTCAATTTTATCACCAAAAACTGATAGGCATGCTTTCTGTGACTTAAGTCACTGACTAAATGATTGCAATAAGACACAGAACATACACAGACTTGAGCCTATCACAAGATAACTGGGTATAGTGAATCTCAATGACACAGGAGATTACATCAAGATGTTTGGGTTGAAAGGGCTTTTTCCAATAAATACCTTGCTTCCATCACTAAATAAAGCAACTGGCATTAATTGAGGATATGGTACAAATATAAGTCAGGAAAATATATGATAACTAGTATTCTAGTTTAATATAACCATTTTTGTCCATTTTATCTGGGTAGAATATTTCAAATACTGAAATCTCAATTATAATCCTTCATCTTATTACTAAGTATATCCTGTGAAACTCCAGTAAAAACCTCCTAAAATGAGTACATTGTAACATTCTCTAATCTATAAGAACCAGAATCATTTCATTAAAACAAGGAAATCACGGGGCGCCTGGGTGGCTCAGTCAGTTGAGTGGCTGCCTTTGGCTCAGGTCAGGGATCCAGGCCTGAATGGAGCTCGCCGCTCAGTGGGGAGCCTGCTTATCCCTCTCCCTCTGCCACTCCCCCTGCTTGTCTCTTGCCCATGCTCACTTGCTTTCTCTCTCTCAAATAAAATAAAATCTTTAATAAATAAATAAATAACAAGAAAATCATTAGTTTAGCATGACTTGTTCTCAGTGACTCTGTGCTCGTTCCCACTTTTTCCCTAGGTATTCCACTATTCTATTCTAACCCTCCGACTCCCTCCTCTGAAGGACTGGGTTGGGAGGGGTGGATGGGAGGAGGGGGTGGTTTGGAAAGCATATGCTGGGTTTCATTATTAAAATTCACAAAAGCAATTAATAACTGCTAAGAAGCAGCCAACTTCTTAATGTAAATTAGGATAATATAAAAGTATCTTTTAAAGAAGTCATTTTTACTGAGATCATGACCACAACACTATTAAAAACCATACATTCTGGAAAAGTAAATTCGATTTTATAATTGTAACACCACTCACCACCAGGTATGAAGGATAATGTACAAATATCTTCAGTTTAACTATAAATATTCTAGAATAAACTTTTAACAGAAGCTGCCAAGTATGTATAAAATAAGTAAACTGACAAATTCAAATTTTAAAAAAATCAACCTGTCCTTTCTCTTTAGTGCACATAAATTAAAAAGAAGAAAATTTAATTAGTTCATTACACATTTTTACTCATTCTAAATGAAGTGGACAAAACCTACTTTAAGGGATGATTCAGAATCACCTAGGGTACTGAAGCATGCATGCACTGTCACCTACAAACTCATTAAATATAGTTGAAATACTACTTACAGTTACACTGTTAACATTCTGAAACTTAACATAACGAAGTGGGACAATTCCATCTTCTTTAATATCATCCTCTGTTAGTTCCAGAGCTTGAGTTGGTTCACTTCTTTCTGCTTCTTCAAAATCCATAGATCGGGGCAGATTGATAAAAATTTTTACATATTTAGGACCCTGACCTATAAAATGGTAGAATGAAATTAAATGTTAAACCCAACTTGCAATACTTTCCTCGCTTCACCATTACATTCATGCTATACAACCAGTCACACATCCAAACACTTACTCATCTCTATAGCAACTGCTTTTACAAATACTCTGTATTTTCAGAAGATACAATTTTATTAATGAGCAATATTAATACATAATATTGCATATACCTACCTAAATCTTTAGGAACTTTAAGAAATTCTGAGTATTTTCATGCATATACCTACCTAAATCTTTAGGAACTTTAAGAAATTCTGAGTATTTTCATAGCCATTCTTTTTTTTATACACATTTTTTAATGCCTGCTAGCAGTATAATAAGTCCTAAGAATACTAGATTGAAACACATATGTATGTATGCAAACACATATACATACACAGGCTTCTTGCCCTCAACTGTAAGTCACACTATGGTAAATGTAATACTACTAGTGAGGAGATACAGGGAGGACGGCAATCCAGTCTGACAGTGGATGCACGTTCACATCTGAGCTGGGTCTTGCAGCTGCCAACAACTGGTACACTTGTTATTTAGGAGAAAAGCATTACCAGTGACAACATTTAGCTAACAGGAAATTAATTATACAAACTGCCGGGGTGCCTGGGTGGCTCAGTTGGTTAAGCCTTCGGCTCAGGGTCCTGGCTCACTCACTATCTCATAACTAACTAACTAACTAACTAACTAACTAACTAACTAACTAAATAAATAAATAAAATAAAATTTTTAAAAAAAATTATACAGCTGCCAAATTTCATCTTAGGGATTAAAATGTGCTAAGTGGTTAGATCACATTTACAGAATGCCTTAGTCCCTTTAACTTCAGGGTACAATCCAAAACCCATTTTAGTGGCTAATTAAGGAATCTTAAGATATTCATATTGCTTACTCATCTCTACAGCAACTGCTTTTACAAATACTTGGTATTTTCAGAAGATACAATTTTATTAATGAACATTAATACATAAAAATTTAAAACAACAAAGGAAGGCTAGCTGATAAATAGGGTGCTTGCTGTTTCTCCCAATTATAAGGAAAGTAAGAAAAATCCTAGTCCCCACTACCTGCCAACACACAACCAAAAAAAAAAAAAAAAAAAATTCAATAGGGACAGGAAAAAAAGGAGGGAGATGAATAAGGAAAATTCTTTATTTAATAGAAAGAGAAATACCAAGTCTGTACAATCCTGTTTACAGCATCATAATATATATATAAAGAAGACGAAACTACTAATAGTGCACAAATAGGAAGATTTAGAACCTTATTTTCATCTATAATAGGAAGAGTATGAAATAAATCTCTTCCAGTTCTGATCCTGCAAAATGGCTACTTCAAACCTGGACTTTTAGAGTAACAGTTGGAAGAAAGAGTTTGTTTTTAGATTAAGAGATTAAACTTTTAGAAATAAGATAAAATTTTTCTTTTCCTTTCCTTTTAGTTCCTAATAATATCACATTATTTGCACATTCATTTATCTCCTTGCTTTGTTCCAGAAACAATTTCACTCCTTCCAAAACAAGAAATACCCACCTCTATTATTTAATAAAAAGTTTTACATATGTGCTAACAGATCCACAGAGCAGAAAGTTAAAGAAAAGCTGTCCATTACTCACCATTATCTGGCCCTTGAAATTTCATTGAATAAAGCTTAACAGGTTGATTAAATGCCACAGTAATAAGCAGCTGTGAAGAAAATAAAAGTTTCATTTTAAAAGGGCTCTTGAACACCTTGAATACACACAATAGCTATGTAGACTTAAAATTAATTCAAAGGCAGAAAATATTTAATTCAATTCATAAAACCAATGTAATATAAAAAATCAGTAAGTTGAAAGTAACTTGATTAGATGGACATCTGAGAAATACAATAATCTATTATTCATATAAGGGAATGACAACAAAATTTAATGGAATAAATTAAATTAAAAATAGGCATAAGGGGGGGCACCTGGCTGGCTTATTCAGTACAGCATGCGATACTTTTTTATATAGAGGCTGTGAGTTCGAACCCATCATTGGGCACAGAGCCTACTAAAAAATGGTGGGGGAGGAGATGCATATGAACCTAATGTCTTGTGACCTGTAAACTGACAAGCAATTTGTCTTCCAAAACACCAAACACAATCCAAATTAAAATTCAAACTATATTATTTTAGTATATAAGCTTAACATTTTATAGAATGGTTTGTCAAGCATCTACCCACATCATTTGACAATTTGGAAACAATGCACAGATTATGTGAAGAAATTAGCCCTCAACTGCACTCTATTTGGTCCAAAACTCAAGAGAATAAGACTTTTAATAGCTCTATAGTAACCTCCAAACCTCCATCCTAAACTTACTGGACTTAACTGAATTTAGAAGGCCACATAAGGGAACTGGAATACGAAATACTGTCCGATGCTTCTCTCTCAGAAACCGTTAAGTCATTTGCTCAAGATTCTTTCCAGCTGAAATTGTGCCTGATGTACTTATCTATGCTTCTACCCTGGAAGGAAGATTTTCCTGGCAGGAAGATTTCAGGGAGGCTGTGGTCAGTTCTGATATTCATCATCACATTATATTCAGGGCACCATTTACAATGAACACAACTATGAACAATATTCTTAAAGCTGTTCAGTAAAGTAGCTATGGTTGGAGCAAAGATGAAATTTGGATTCATGATTTCAGGATCACTGTGGTCTGTTTGCCTTAGAAAATACCCAGACTATTTCCTTTGGTTATATAATTACTTTTTATACTTGACCTGTAATAATGTGTCAAAAAATAATAAGCATGACATGTTTATAGAAACTTGAACCACAGGTAAAGAGAATGGAAAGCTAGAAACAGATCAAGTCAGCAAGAATATGATACCCTCTTCCTGAAGTCTGTGAAGAATCATTTAACTCCTTTAAGAAAAAGCATGATCAGATTTATGCTTTCTTTTTTTTTTAAGATTTTATTTATTTGAGAGAGAGAGAGCAAGCGCACACAAGTGGGGGAAAGGGTAGAGGGGGCCTGATGTGGGGCTGGATCCCAGGGGGCCCGGGATCATGACCTGGGCTGAAGGGAGATGCTTAACTGAGTGAGACACCCAGAGGCCCCCAGACCTATGTTTTAGAAGAATAACTTTTGTGAACATGTGGAAGATGAACTAGAATGGGGACAAAGCAGAGACAGTGGATTAGAAAGTATATTAAGGAAAGTAGGAGTCAAGATAAAGATAATGATGGCTTGATCAAGGTAGTACGACATTACCTCCTCTGTGACAACAACACAGATTAGTACAGGGAAGTACAATACAGGTTTACATCTGGGAGTGAGGAACACGCATGTAAGAGTGCTCATCTGGTTAGTCTCTATTTCTCAGGTAAAAACTCAGTTGAGTAAAAAATATGGAAGACAGGTCAAGAATGAATATAAGGACTTAAGAGTGGTGAAGGCTCAACTCAGTAGTGGAGCCAATCCAAAATTCTGAGATTCTGTGTAATGCACCTGGCAGTTTGCACTGAACAGAGAAAGGAGGTAGGTCTGCACCATCAAAGAAACTAAAACTTACAAAAAGGAAAGGAAGTGGTCACCTGGGAAGGAGAAACATAAAACGAGATGGAAACATGATAAAGAACCCAGAGCGCACATAAATATTGATGATCCCTAGAAGCTTTAACTTAAGTAACAATTACCTGTTCATCACAATCAGATTCCAAGAAGGTCGTATCTTTTCTCAAACAGTTGTCAAATCCATGCTCATCACTTTCATTAAGACATTCACAACCAGCTTTGTTAATAAAAGGCATTAAATCCATCTGAAAAAAATTACATCAAGACTTTAGGCAAAGCATTTGGACTTGGCATAACAATTTAACAAACGTAAGTATGTGATTCTCTCTAGGCAATTTTAAAGAAAACTTCTCTTAAAACAGTTACTAAAACTTCTACAATAATCCTTTCATTTGAATTTCTGAGATCTACCACAATTAGAGCCAAGTCTAGGCTTAGCCCACTTGATAAAAAACGAAGTCTTTAACACAAAGATTATAAATGTTGACTTGTACTTTTTTATTACCAGTGTTTTGCAGGGCAAAATACGCAAATTAAAATATCCGTAAGATCCAAAGACAGCCTACCTCCTTCTTCTAGCAGTCATGTACTCTTCAAACCTATTTCCATAAAGAATTTACATTTAAGATGAATAACAAATAAGGATTAAAACATTTGCTATTATGGAAAATTTCAAGCACACATAAATAATACAATGAACCCCACGTCCCTCACTTCCCAGTTACAATAATCAACTCACGGCCACTCTCGTTTCATCTTTACCCTGTAAGCAGTTCCTACCCCTCCCGTTTTCAAATAAATCTTAGGCATTTCTTCCATTTCATTCATGAACATTTCAGTGTGTTCATGAACATTTCTAAGAGATAAGGAATCTTAAAAAAAAAAAAAAATCTCTGGGATGCCTGGGTGGCTCAGTGGGTTAAACATCTGTTTTCAGCTCAGGTCATGATCCCAGGGTCCTGGGACCGAGCCCCACATAGGGCTCCTTGCTCAGTGGGGAGCCTGCTTTTCCCTCTGTCTTTGCCTGCCGCTCCCCCTGCTTGTGCTCTCTCTCTCTCTCCCCCTCTCTGACAAATAAATAAAATCTTAAAAAAAAACAAATCCTCAATATTATTATCACAACTAAAACAATGAGTAATACTTTATTATTAGCAAATATCCATGTTCAAATTTCTTCAGCTGTCTCATAAATGTGGAACGGTTAGAATAAGAATCCAAACAATGTACACTATAATTGGTTAATGTTTCTCAAATCTCCTTTAATCTATGGTCACCCACAGACTTCTAATATTCTAGATTTTTGCTGACTGCTTCCCTGTGGTTGTCATTTAACATTTTCCTGTCTCCCATGTATGTGTTAATAGTCCAACACAATGCCAGAGTTGTGACAATGGTCATCCCTATGTTGTTTCTGACTTTAGTGATGAGAGTACCTCTGGTGTTCCCCCATTAAGATTTTATTGACTGCTTTAGGAATAAATGGGTACTGATTCTATTAAATGCCTTTTCTGCATATTAGGAGATCATAACCTTTCTCCTCTAGATCGCTGGATTTTGTTTACTAATATTTTATGAGCTTTACAAGTGTTCCTAATTGGAACTGGTCAGTAGCTTTTTTTTTTTTTTTTGGTGCAAACTTTGCCAGATTCTGGGTTCAATGTCATATTTACTTCAAAAAAAACTGTATATGGTGGGGGCCTGGGTGGCTCAGTCGTTAAGTGTCTGCCTTCAGCTCAGGTCATGATCCCAGGGTCCTGGGATTGAGCCCCACATTGGGCTCCCTGCTCAGCGGGAAGCCTGCTTCTCCCTCTCCTACTCCCGCTGCTTCTGTTCCCTCTCTCGCTGTGTCTCTGTCAAATAAATAAATAAAATCTTAAAAAAAAAAAAATTGTATATGGTGTTAAGCATTTGGAGTAACACCAGACTACCTGATCTTTAAAGATTTGGTAGAATTTCCCTATGAAGTCATCTTAACCCTTATGGTAGAGGTCTCTAACTATTTTCTCTATTTCCTCTATGGTGACTGGTCTATTCTGGAGTTCTGCTTATAATGGAGTTGATTCTGATAAACTCTTTCTCTAGAAAAGTATCCATTTCATCCAGAACAAGGACTACTTTTAAGTTTACCAAGTACTATAGACTATCAGTTGTATATTCACCTATCACAAAGAGTATTATATATTTATAGAGTATATTAATACATGTGTATATCATTCTGAAAGAGTGTATATCATTCTAAAGAAAACTGTAATGTCAAATAATTATATGTCAAATCATTATCATCAGTATGATGATAATCCATTAGAAGAATAGCCCCTTAATTATTCATGGAGTGGCCTAAATGCTTTCAAAGCCAAAATGTTATTTTGAATTATATTAAATGTTACATTGCACTAGATATTAATCAGAGTAACACACTGTAGCCCATTTAAAAACAGCAGGAGGGGTGTTGGGGGGTAAAGAGTTGTAGTGGCACTACAAAGCTAAGTTCTACTATTACAGAATTACTCTAAACTTCAAGAACATTTGCCTTGAAAGGGTAGTTTTGACAAAATCTTTTAAACACTTACGTCTTCCATCCTACCAAGATGCCTCTTCAATATTATATCAAGGATTAAGACCCAAGCATGAAGATGAAGACAACATTGCAGTCATACTTGTAATATCTTAATGATGAAAAATAAACTAAATAGATGACTTAATATTAAAGTTGTTTTAATATTTATTTATTGTGGGGCACACAAAACAAGTATCACAAACAGTTTCATAAAGTGCTTTGTTATACAACACTGAGGACAAATTGGCATTATATAAATTGGCATTAATACCTAACTACAAACTGACATATTCTAGAAATATGCAATTGGAAATAAGTATCACTACCTAAGTAATCAACTTGCCAATAATGACAAAAGAATAATGAGAAAACAATCAGACAAATCCAGATTGTGGGACAGTCTATAAGACAGATGGTCTCAACCTGCGCTGTACAATAAGATAGCCACTAGCCACATGTGGCAATTTAAATTTAAATTAATTAAAAGTAGATAAAATTTAAAATTCAGTTCCTCAGGTGCACTAGTCATGTAACAAATGCCTAATAGCCACATGTACCTAGTGACTACTATATTAGACTGGTGCCAGTTTAAGCTTCCAAAAAAAGGCAGTAATGAATTAAAAAAACAACAACAACAAAAACCCCAGAAGTTTCCAGAACACCAAAGAGAAACGACTTAAATGTAATGCATGATCCTTGACTTGATCCCAGATGGAGGAAAATTAGCTATAAAGAGTATTCTGGAGGGGTGCCTGGGTGGCTCAGTCGGTTAAGCTCAGGGATTGAGTCCCACATCAGGCTCCCTGCTCAGCCAGGAGTCTGCTTCTCCCTCTCCCTCTGCCCCTCCCTCGGCTTGTGCTCTCTCTCTCTCTCTCAAATAAACAAAATCTTAAAAAAAAAAAAGAGTATTCTGACGATAATTAAGAAAATGTGAACGTAGTCTTTAAGTATTAGAGATGCTGTACCATCGTTAAATTTCTTAGGCATGATAATGATATCGTGGTTATGTAAATGAATGTTCTTGCTCCTAGAAGCTACAGGCTAATAAAATATTTAGAAATGAACCATCATGATGTCTACAGTTTACTTTTAAATGATTCTGTAGAAGGTAAAAGTGGATAAATATATATCAAGAAAGCAAAAATAGCAAAATATTCACAACTGATGAACACAGGTGAATGGTATATGTGTTTACTATACTACTACTCTTGTCAACTGTGTTTTGTTTAATAAATTTCACATTTCTTTTTTAGAGGGGGAAAATCTAAAACAAGACACACAGCAAGTTAGAAAAACTTTTCCAGGCTTCTAGTTTGGGTTAACGGAAGATCTTACTACACAAATTAGGGTCACTTAAGGTTTCATTTCATTTTGATGAATGATGACAAAATTTGTAGACCAAAATCTACAGTTCAGGGGTCAGAATACTAAAATATACATATAGGCCTCAAGATTTAGAACGTATGCAAATCCAACTTCAATTCCAGAGTGCTCAGAACTCAAACTTCTGGGGGAGAGGAAGACTTGATATTGATGGCCCTCTCATTGCCACTTAAGGCCGTACTAGGTACTCTTAGCAAATATGAGAGAGAAAAAAGAGAATGTTTTAAACTTTCCCAATGTTTCAATTAACACTTTAAAAACTAAAAGTCATTATATTCACAAAAACAATGTCTTACTTCTGAATAAGAACTATTATGATTCTTATTGAGTATCACATCTACATTTATTGCAATATTTCAAACTCTAAAAGAGATATGTGTCTCTCTCTTACTCTGGCTTCAATCAAATCAGGAGTTCCAAAACTAGGATGTATAGAATCAGTAACTGCATAGCCTCTTAGTGTTAAAACATAACTGAAAGTCTTTAAAACCAAAATTTTGTTTTAAAATTGTCAATACAATGCAGCCATCAAAAGGAATGAGATCTTGCCATTTGCAACGACGTGGTTGGAACTGGAGGGTGTTATGCTGAGTGAAATAAGTCAATCAGAGAAAGACATGTATCATATGACCTCACTGCTATGAGGAATTCTTAATCTCAGGAAACAAACTGAGGGTTGCTGGAGTGGTGGGGGGTGGGAGGGATGGGGTGGCTGGGTGATAGACACTGGGGAGGGTATGTGCTATGGTGAGCGCTGTGAATTGTGCAAGACTGTTGAATCACAGATCTGTACCTCTGAAACAAACAATGCAATATATGTTAAGAAAAAAAAGAAGATAGCAGGAGGGGAAGAATGAAGGGCAGTAAGTCGGAGGGGGAGACGAACCATGAGAGACGATGGACTCTGAAAAACAAACTGAGGGTTCTAGAGGGGAGGGGGGTGGGGGGATGGGTTAGCCTGTTGTTGGGTATTAAAGAGGGCACATTCTGCGTAGAGCACTGGGTGTTATGCACAAACAATGAATCATGGAACACTACATCAAAACCTAATGATGTAATGTATGGTGATTAACATAACAATAAAAAATAAAATAAATAAATAAAATTGTCAATACATTTCTGCAATGCTAATACTTAAATCTACTTAAGATACAGGCTTTCATTCATTCACTTACTCCCGTTAAGTTTCTATTTGTGTTGTGAGAATGATGACATTCTTAGAAACACATTACCAATTCTTAAAATATTTAAGAACCTTGCAGACATATAGTTCAAAACTTAATGTCTTGATTGACACCTGATGGAAAAAATGAAAATGTTTTTAATAGCCTTTCAAACTGTATTCATAACATTTACATGAAAACTAAATTATTTTTATTTCCTAAAACTTCCATTTTTTCCTGCTTATTTCCTACCTGAGGACAAAACACTGATAATCACAATTAGCTGATGTGTAAAGAAGTATTCCTCTAGCTAAGCAGCAGGACTGTCGCGCTCATAAGAACTTTTCATGCAAAAACCCTTAGTTAATAAAGGAAAAAAATACAAAGATGTAAACACAACAGTTTACAAGTCAAATAATTTCCAAAATTTTCCAAAAGGTGTCACAATCCTGACTTACACAACATGTTCATACTTTCTAACTGGATATTACAATTTCAAATTATCACATAACAGTTCTGTTTTAAATAGATACTAATTGTGCCTCCCTAAATTAATTAATGCTAGTACCACTTGTTAAAGACACTTTTTGAAGACACAACACTCAACTCCCCACACACAAAAAGAATCTCTTGTATTCATCTGACTAGAGAGTCTCCTTATTCAGCATGAATTTAAGGGACTTTACAGAAAGAACATGTAGCCCATGACATCAATCTGCTTTACTGTAGTTGATATATATTCTTTCATATACTAGCTTTAACTTAAGATAATAATTATTTTTTAAATTGTTCATTTTTGATCTGCAATTACCATTAACTTTATAACAAAAAAAAGTAGGAAAGATATATACAAATATATGTTTTGGTATGCAGGATTAACCAATTTGCATAAATGAGTCAGTTACCATGAAGTGCTACTTCTGAATTTTGGTCCTTTCTGAACAGCTCTTAAATGATAAAGATACTGAATTATAATTATTTGTATTATGTAATTCTCAAACACTTTTAAGTTCCTAAGTCCTCAAGTTATTATTTGAATAATAACTTACTCTTAAAACTCAGAAAAACCTATCCAATAGCAAAGTCACATATGACCCTAAAACAAAATTAGATTTTTTTTTTTAGCAGAAAAAAAGAGGTGCCAGAAAATAGGGAATACATTAAAAAAGAGAGAGAAAACTATAGGAAGTGGCAGGAAAGGGAGTCCAGCATATAAAGATCACACATTAAAATTTCCATGTCATTTTACACAATTGTCAAAACCTGAAAAATTTTTCCAATATACATTTCTTCACATTTTTTGGGGAAAAAGTATATATGTATAATTTTAAAATTACATATAAAGAAAATATTCATTATATGTAATAAAGTGAAAATTAAATGTATATATAAAAATATATATACATTAAAAATGATTAAATGTTTAAAACTGGCTATTAAGACAATTCAGAAAGCGGGTTTAAAAAAAACAAGTGGCAAAAAGAATTATTTAGGAAAAATTGTTTTTGATGAAGGCTTAAGATTATTATACATACAACAGAAGCAGAAACCCAATAATCAGCTAATGAAATTACTTTTAAAGATCTTATTTGAAAGTATTCTTAACTAGCAAAAGGTAACAGTCAATTTCATTTTAACGAAATAATGAGAAAAGATATATAACGATTTCACTCTTAAGTCTACCTACATAGCCTTTTGGAATATCTGTGTCCTCATTGCTTCCAGGGTCATTTTCTAAGTGCTGCTTGATCTTTTCTTCTAATCCAACAGCATCTGCTCCTTGATATTGATCAATTCTCACTTTGTTTCGAAAAAACAGAAATGTAGGTGTTGCTGATATATTGTTGGTGGCAGCTGTCCCCTAGAATTGGCAAGTTAGATGCTGTTAATGAATTAAAATTCATCTTAAACCACTCTGAATATTCATTCTACCTCTCTGTAGAACTTAAATATCACAAGCATGAACAGAAACCACATAAAATAACTTATTCCCAATTGTTATTTAAGAAAAAGGCCTACTACTGAGGGCACAACTACATTATCTTTAAATTCCCAATGAAGAACATGCATTTTTATCAATTTTAGTGTTAAACACTTCACCCACCAGTAGAACAATTAGCTTCCAATACAGAAATTAAGCTTTATACCACCAGCTAGCACTTTCGTAAGTACATGCTGTTTCTTAAATGGGGAAGCCCAAAAGGGTATTAATACGTCAACACAAACCACTGCTACTAGGAAAAAGTACAGATCTGAAAAACAGTAGCTCATCTCTCCATGAAAACGAAGTAACAACCTCACTCAACTCTACTCATAGAAATGATTTCTGGCCTCCCATCAAATACATTGCAACATTTACCTTTTAAAATTCTGCTCCACTCCACAATTATTATGAAACTAAGTACTGAGTGGAAATTAGCTACTTAACCACTGACTCATGACTTAAACTTTTCATAAGTATAAAGGAAACAGTTAAAGCAAACGTGTCATCTTGCATATTCAAATACTATAAAAAGGTACCACTACATTGTTTAAAGAAAAAAAACCATAAAGTTTACATAGCGAAGTCTTCTCTGAAACTCAAAAATTAAAAAACAAAAGACAAAAAATATGACTGACATTTTAGAACAGTACTGTCCAAAAGAAATATAAGACATAAATGTGGTGTATATATATAATTTTAAGTTGCCAATATCCACAATAAAAAAGTACAGAGAAACAACTGAAGTCAATTTTAATGCTATGTTTTAGTGAATCCAACATTTGCACTTTTAACACAGTGTAGAACATAAATGACATATTTTACATTTTTTTCATACTAAGCCTTCAAAATCCTATGTGTATTCTACACTTACAGCACTCCTCAATTTGGATTTGCCACATTTCAAGTGTGCAATAACAACATGCTGCTAGTGGCTACCATACTGGACAACAAAGCTCCCGAGTGGAGACAGGAATACTAAAATAAGGGCCAGTGATGGGAGCCCAAAAGTATGTGACAGACGAACTAAGCAATATTATGGGTTTAAACCAAACCCCAAACTACTCACTACAAACTATTATAACATTTAAAAATTCTTTTCACACTCAGAATGTATCGAAGACAAAACCTCACCAAAAAGAGGAGGTACACAGCTATTCCTTAATCAGAACTAAAGACTACATTTTTAGTGCTGGAAGGAACCTTCAAAAATTTTTCCCATTAACTCCTCCTCCATATTTCCACATATGCAAACACAGAATTGTCACAGAGTCATTCCACTAAGTAATCAGGGCAATCTCCCCACAACACTGTGGCTCAACCGACAGTGGTTAACACTTTCAAGTTTCTGCTGAGTATGCAGCTTTGAAGCTAATATTACAAATTGATCAATTCAAATCAAACTGTAACCAAGAATTCTCTGCCATGGCTTTCAAATCAAACAATGCCTCAGCAGTAAAAGATAATATTCTCTATTTGCAAAAGATAAACAAAAAAAAAGGTAAAAAAAAGGACTTCCAGGTGACTGATTTAGTTGAACAGCTTATTAGTTTTACCTCAGAAAGATATTAATATCACCAAACCCAGAAGCAATTAATACTGAACTACCCTTTTTAACTAATGCAGCCACAATGACATTTGTGGTAATTCATGTCCATATAACATTTTCCCATCTTCAAAGAAGTACTATGTGCATAAAGAGAGAAACAAACGAAGGATGATAACAATGTTGAATTTCAAACCAATGTAAATTTTTTTTTAAAGCACTCCTTTCCCTTACCTGACACTGATGTACATCAACTTCCAAGAAAACTGCCTGTGGATACTTATTACTCATAGAACTGAATGCTGGGGCAATCCTTAAACACGGTCCACACCTGTAAGAAAGGTAAAATACATGCTTGGTAAAAAAAAACAAACAAAAAGAAAAACAAACAAACTAAAAACCCACCAAAAACTGTATTAATTTATACTCTAAAGAATTTGTTAATTAAAATATGAAATTAAATAAAATCTGATCATCCTAGCTTCAGTCTTTCTAGTCTTTCCCACTAGATTATTCAGATATACTTGCATCAATACCACATTGTCTTAATGACTACAGATTTGTATTAAGTTTTAAAGTCTAATGATGTTAAGTCTTCTGGCTTTGTTCTCAGAGAAAAATTAAAGATGGAGATAAAAGGAGGAATATACTATGCTTATAAACTAGAAAACTCAACAGTGTCAAGATGTCAATTCTCCTAAATTTGATCTTTAGAGTAAATGTTAAAATCCCAGTAGATATTCTTGCAGAAGTTAACAAGTTTAAATTCTAAAGTTTACAGGGAAATACCAAAGATAACCCAAGCCATTTTGAGGTTCAAGGCTGAGAAAATTAATTACTGAATATCAAGAAAAATCACAAAGCTTTATAAATTAAGAGTGTACAGTATTGGTACAAGGATAAACAAACTGACCAAGGTAAAAGAACAGGTCCAGAAACAAACCCATCCTACACAGAGCAACCTGATTTATCAAGCATCTGACACAGCAGTGCAGTGGGGAAAGGGTGGGTCTTTTCAATAAGCAGTGCTGTGTCAACAGGATACTCACATGGGAAGATACATGAGTCTTGGCCCCTATACCTCACACCATACACACAACCAATTCCACATGGATTACACATCTAAATCTAAAGGTGAAACAGTAACAGTTTTAAGAAAAAATACAAAGGATACTTTCAGAACTTTGGAGTAAGCAAAGATTTCTTAAAACACAAAAAACACCAAAGAAAAGAGGAAATAATTGATATACTGGAATATACTTGATAACTGGAAAATATTAAGACCTTTTGTTCATCGAGATACCATTTAGAGAGTGAAAAGACCCCACAGAGTGGTAAAATACACACACACACACACACACACACAAATATATCGAAAGGCTTAAACTGCTAATATGTAAAGAATTCCTACAAATCAGTAAGAACAAGACTGACACCCAAAAGGAAAATGGGTAAACTCCTAAAACTGGCACATGACAAATGAGGTTATCCTAACAGTCAATAAATATGAAAAGATACCTCACACTTCATTAGTCACTAAGGAAGCCAGGGAAATGCAAATTAAAACTACTCCCACCAAAATAGCTAAAACAAAAAAGAACAAAGTATTACCAAGAATGTGGAGCAACTGAATTGTTAGTGACTGTGCAAACTTTGGGAGTATAACCACTGTAGGGGTAAAGAAAAGAAACTGGCAGTATCTGCTACACAAAGACCTATGCCTACCTCATGAGCATGTCTGAAGTATATGAACAACAGAAATGTCTACACAGGTTTGCCTTAGGGCATTTGAAAAAATATTGGTAGTAGTAATATTTCTAATAACCAAAAGTGGAGACTACTCAAATTCTATCAACACAGAATGAGTAAATTAATTGCAGTTACTCCTACTGTGGAATACTATACAACAATGAAAATGATCGCTGTCAAGCATCATGCAAAAACATTGATTAACCTCACAAATAATACTGAGAAAAGTAGTACATTATATGATTCCATCTATGCACAGCTCAAATACAGGCAAAACAAATCAATAGTACTATAAACAAAGGTTACCTTTCTGAGAGTTAAAGACATGATGGGGTCATGAGAGATATCAAAAAGCTAGTTATGTTATATTTGTCCAGAAGCTCATTACATGGGCATGTGTGTTCAGTTTATGAAAATTAATTAAGCTATACATTTATAATTGTGTATGATATTGTATCTCAATAAAAATTTAGAGAAAAACCTTGGCAATAGCAGAGAGGAGCACAAGGAAAAGCAAATTCTGAAGTACAAGATATTCAAACTCACAAATGTTCATCCTCAAGCTGCGATTATCTCTCCGGTCTTAAAATTTTCATCAGTATATTCATCCCATGCCTACCTTAAGCCTCACCCCAAAAAAGCTAAGAAAATAAGCAATTAAGTTCTTTAATATTAAACTTGGTGCTTCTGAAAGTAGATTTTTGGATCTAACAATCCTCAAATAGGTCCTGAGACCAATATGAAACAAACATTTAGAGTCACTAAGCCTAAGTTCAGTTTACCAAAATACTCTTAGTTATCAGTAAGTCTTAAACATTATTGATGGGAGTACCAACTGTTATATCCTTTCTGAAGGGCCATTAATCATGATCTGTCAATTTTAAATGAACACAACCCAAGATTCAACAATCTCATTTGCATACATGTATTCTACCTAACACTCATTTTCACAATACGTATAACAAAGTTCAATTCAATGTTTATAACGGTAAAAACTAGAAACAATCTAAATGGCAGCAACAGAAAAATAGTTTAAAATGTTATGACACATTCATACCAGGGGATAAGGATAATTTGTAAATTTGTACTGTTTAAAAGAAAACTAAGTCTCATAATAAAATCCTCTATGACTACATTATAAAGATGTGGATAAAAACACACGTTAGGTGTGTCACACAATAATCAGTTAATTACTTCTGTAAAGTAGGACTGGAAAAGGAAGAGAATTTAGGGAAGACTTAAATTATTCATACTTCTGTATCCTTTTTTTTTTTTTAGGATGAACAGGTACCTTTATTTTAAAATATTAAATAACTTGAGACCAGAGAATTTAACATTAACCGCATTTAAACGGGTGTCCCAAATGAAGCACAGCTATTTATGCTACACCACAACACATTCACTCCTGAAAAAAAATCTCCCTTCTGCAAAAGTATGCGTTCAAAAAAAGACTTATGGGAAAAATTGGACTGAGACAAACCGTTTAAACCTATACAACTTAGTAAAAACATCCCTAAGACAAAACAGTAACGTACTCAGGAAATACTCGGACAGTCGGGCAGGTGGCTCAGACTAGAGGCTACCTCAGGGAATGTTTAAAATGAATAAAAACAATGGAAGTGCCGTTTAAGGTAATATGACAACTGAGCCACGGGTCTGTGGGAGGAAGTTCCGTACTGACCATGAAGCCCTCTACGGAGCAAGTGCTCCTGTTAAACTGGAGTAACTCTCTCAAAACAAACGTGGAAGGGAGCTTGCCTGTATCACTGAGGGGTTTGCTTCTTTCTGCTAAAGAATCTATTTCTATTTCTGTTCCTCACTATCTAGGAAAAACAGAATACGAACCAACACAACTTCCACATCAGACTGAGATCATCACTCTATTCACCAGCCATGTATGAGCTAATCAGTGTTAAAAAAAATTTCTTGTAGCTAAAATAACTGTACTAAGATAACTGTTCCCTTTCAAACTTTAACCTTATCTAGATCCTGTTTAATTTTAGTTAGCCATCACAGGTTGTAACTTTAGTCAAAAATCAAAATAAGTCCTAGAATAAAGAAGCAGAAATAAATACAGCAGCATACTTTCACACTATAACCATTCAAATGAATTGATTAGTTATTTTAAGATGTTTGCCTGCTTAACATTAGTATTTAAGAGCTTAACATTAGTATTTAAGAATAAATTTAAATTTCCATTATTAGCTGAGCTCATTAGCAAGTCACCTGATTTCTCCATACAAAATGAGAAGGAACTAGATTCTCTAGCACCTTTCTCATATTTAAAATATTATGCCCCAGGGATCTGGGTGGCACAGTCAGTTAAGAGTCCAACTCTTGGGACGCCTGGGTGGCTCAGTCGTTAAGCATCTGCCTTCGGCTCAGGTCATGATCCCAGGGTCCTGAGATCGAGCCCCACAGTGGGCTCCCTGCTCAGTGGGAAGCCTGCTTCTCCCTCTCCCACTCCCCCTGCTTGTGTTCCCTCTCTCACTGTGTCTCTCTCTGTCAAATAAATAAATAAAATCTTAAAAAAAAAAAAGAGTCCAACTCTTGATTTCAGCTCAGGTCCTGATCTCACGGTCATGTGGTTGAGCCTCGAGCCCTGTGTTGGGCTCCACGCTCAGCGCAGAGTCTGCCTGAGTCTCTCTCCCTCTTCCTCTGCCCCTCTCCCAGCTCCTCAAACAAACAAATAAATAAATCTTTAAAATATTATGCCCCAAATATGCCTGAATTTCAGGATCACACTTTTTTCTCTTGTGCAACCCTTGATTCACAGCCCTTAAATAATATACAGTCACAGAGCCTCTGAACTTGTAAAAGTGACCACAGATCATCTAGTCCTGAGGTTTTAAAAAAGAAAACAAGTTCTTCTTCTATCTGTGAACCTCTCTTTGACAGAAAGGTTGCCTATTAAATCCAATATGTAAAATGGATATGTAAGAAGGATTCCGACTTACGCTTTTTGAGAAAAACACAGCAGACAACTCTCCAGTTTTCTGCAATACATAAAGAATCAAACCCACAAAACAAAAACTTTAAAACTGACCTAATCTAACACAATTATTGGATAAGAACTGAAGACCAGAAAAGTTAAAATGACTTGCCCAAGATCAGACACTCTAGTCAACGGCAGGGCCACAACAGAAGAGTTAACTCCTAATCCAATCCAATCCAATCCAATCCAATCCAATCCAATCCAAGCTTTCTTTGAAAGCACCAAGTTAGGTTCCTAAGTAAGATTTTGTTTACAGTCATAATATAAATACATTTTACTTCACGAACTTGCCACTCTTCACTATTTGCTAAAGTATTTAGTGCTCTGCCCTGGGCAATAACATGTGTAAACACATTGCTGATAAATAGTAAGGAAAATGTATGTGCTTTCTGAAGAGATATTTTAAAAAAGTCTGTTTTTCCACAGGGCACAACTTTAAAGTAGGTAATGTCTAGATTAATTATATTTTAATTAGGGCAGGCATAATCATAACTGGTCCTATTAATAACACGAAATGGCTAGCATTCATTGAGCATTTACCATATGTTATACAATTTACAAAACCCTTAAATTCATTTAAGCCCTACAATTCCTCATTTCAGTCAAGAACAATGAAGTACAGTGCTAGAATTTGATCACAAAACCCAACTCTTAACAGCTATTCCCAAAACCCCAAAAGAGTGGCCTACACACTGCTTTTTGTTATTTCTAAATTAACTGCCAAGATTAAAACTATTTATATGCTCTTTAAAAAAAATCCAGACAGATACCATTTTGTAAAGTTCAAATTCAGGCGAAACTAATCTGTAGTGTTAGAACTCAAGAATGAGGAGAAGAAAGTGTGGCGGGGGATGGAAGGGGGAAATCTTGATCTACATGTTGGTTAAAACTTAATGTATACACAAATGATTTGTCTACATTTCTGCATGCATGTCATACTTCAATTAAAAAAGTATACTTTTAAGAAAAATTCTCTATGTTCTCTGAGGCCTCACCATGTGCTAGTTATCTTAAAGCTACTACCTACCTCTTTCATTATCTGCCTGGTCCCTATGGACTACTGAGCCTGCTATCTCTGTAATTCAGTCTGCAGCAATGGTGCAACATATAATTAATACCATATGTATACATACATACATATATATAAATACATACATACATATGCGTATGTGTGTGTGTATATATATATGATGTATTATCTGAACAAGCTACCATAACCATTAGAACTCAACATCCTAATACACACTAACATTCTTCCTGGATGGTAACACCTAACCAACTACAAATAGGACCTACTTTAACAAAACTGAATATATGGCAAATACATCTATAAAAATGACACGTTCACAAATTTAAAGATAAAAATCATACTCCATATAATTTCACTTATATGTGGACTCTAAACAAACTCACAGATGAAAAAACCAGAAACAGACTCATAAATACAGAAAACAAACTAGTGGTGGTGGGGAGGGGATTGGTGAAGGGATCAAGAGGTACAAACTTCCAGTTATAAAAAAGTCATGCGGATGAAAAGTACAGCATTCGGAATGTGGTCAATAAGAGTGTGATAACTGTGTATGGTAAAAGATGGTAACTACACTTATGCTGAGCATTTCGTAAAGTATATAACTTAAATCACTATGCTGTACCCTGTAACAAATAAAATATTGTATGCCAAGTATACTTCAATTAAAAACCAATCATTCATACTAAGTTTTATGGGGAAGAAAATGCATATTCTTTTAGCATTGGGGCTTACCCACCAGTGATAACAACAAAACTGGCACTGCTTATTAATCAATCACTAAATGTATCTGAGTTTATTTAAAATGAGTAACAGTTTGGAAATAACAGTTAAAAAAACATGTTACCACAGTATATAATTTCATTCTCTAAACAATACTGTTAGGTTACATGTTACTATTCCCATTTTACAGGTAGAGAAAAGAATATCAGAGAGTGAAGTGAACTGTCCTAAGTTATAAGATTAGTTTGCAAGCAGCTCTAACTAAATTTTTAGTTAGATATTTATTTAAAAATGTCAGACTCTATGCAATATAGAGATGAACCTGCATTTCCTTTCTACTTAGGCTGGGAAGAACAAGAACAGCACTTTATAATCCAAACTGCATTCAGCAATGGGACCTTAAGTTATTTAACCTGTGATTCAACACTGTCATTTGTAAAATGGGGATAATTTCAATTATTTTGAGGACTGAGTAAGTCAATATAAATGTTTAAACAAGTCTCTTACAAAAGCAAATAATATGTAAATGTTGAATAAATACCAGAGAAGGGTGCCAAGACCATTCACTGGGGAAAAGACAGTTTTTTCAACAAATGGTGCTGGGAAAACTGGATATCAACATACAAAAGAATGAAGATGGATCTTTATACCATATACAAAAATTAACTCAAAATGGGTAAAAGACCTAAACTTGAAAGCTAAAATTACAAAATTATTTGATGAAAACATAGGGGTTAACTCTTCATGACACTGGATTTGACAACGATTTCTGGGAAATGACACTAAAAGCACAAGCAACAAAAGATAAATTGGACTTCACCAAAATTTAAAGACTTGAGCATCAAAGGACACTATCGAGGAAGTGAAAGGCAACCAATGGGAGAAAATATTTATAAATCATGTATCAGATAAGGAATACTCAAAATATGTAAAGGACTCCTACAATTAAGTAACAGAAAACAAGTCATTCAAAATGAGCAAAGAACTTGAATAGACATTTCTCCAAGGAAGACAAATGACCAATAAGCACAAGAAAATATGCCCAACTTCATTAGTCATTAATGAAAACCAAAACCACCAGACCACTTCAAACCCATTTAGGATGGCTATTAAAATATAAAAAGTGTTGGTAGTTATGTGGAAAATCAGAACTCTCCTGCACTGCTGGTGGGAATGCAAAATGGTACAATCACATTCCACTCCCAGGTATATACCCGAAAGACCTGAAAGCAGAGACTCAAAGAAATCCTTGCACACCAATGCTGATAGCAGTATTATTCACAATAGCCAAAAGGTGGAAACAACTCAAATGTCTATCAACAGATGAATAAGCAATATATGGTGTATACAATGAAATATTATTTAGCTTGAAAAAGGAAATTCTGACACATGCTGCAACATGGATGAACCTTGAAAACATTATGCTAAGTGAAATAAGCCAGAAACCAAAGGACAAATATTACATAATTCCACTTACATGAGGTATCAAGAATAGGCAAATTAATTCATAAAGACAAAAAGAAGTGACCAGGGGTGGGAGGCTGGGGGGTATTGGGAGTTCTTGTTTAATGAGTAGTTACTGGTTAATGCTTTTACCTGAGATAATGAAAAAATTCTAGAAAATAGTGGTGATGTTGGTACTACACTGTGAATGTACTTAATGCCACTGAATTATACATTTAAAAATGGCTAAAATGATAAATTTCATATTACATATATTTTACTACAATTAAAAAATCGAGTGCTTGCTTTGGCAGCACATATTACTAAAATTGGAACACTACAGAGATGAGCATGGCCCCAGTGCAAGGATGACATGCAAATTCATGAAGCGTTCCATATTTAAAAAGGAAAAAAAAAAAAATGAAAATACTGGAGAGCCACTGAAGATCCTTAAACAGTGACAATCTGCGTAACATTTTATTAAAATTAACAGACAGGTATAACATTGAAGTGGAAAAAAAGGAGTAAGACTCAAAGTAGGGTTGGAAAGAAAACAGTTGCTGGAGAAAACTATGTTCTTGGCCTAAAATGGGACATTAACTTTGATCTAAGAGGTTTCCTACATGGTCTACTGGATATAGTTGTTTGAGGGTCTAATACTGATGCCCAGTTACTCCAGAGGGGTCACACTGACATAGTTTGTGTAGGAATGCTAATGGTCAAAATGTTAAAGAACTTCAAGGTAAATGTAACCTTAAAAAGATTTATAAATGTTAGCTATAAATATACTTTTGAAAAGTTCTCTAAATTCATTTTCTTTGTGCTGTTTTTCCAAAAAAAATAAATAAATTTTCATTGCATGAAAATACCTTTTTAAAAGTAAACAACACAGTGCTTTACCAATCAATGTCTGCAGTTGTTTATGGTTAAATGTTGCCTCATTGTTAATGGAAGTGTTTCCCAATAGCAAAGTTTCCGCACTTTTCTCACTTGAATTAATAAATGATTTATCACTGTCATCTGTGCTGCTATGGTAAGGGAAAAGAGTATTTTATTGGGGGATGAAAGTCTATACACTCCTACAAATTAGAACTAGAAAAGTGAATTAAAAATGAGACTCATTGTTAAAATCATCTCTTTTCCAATTTTGGCCTAGGTACTTAACAAATGTACAGGTATCCCTCCATATTAAAAATATCGACATTACAAAACTGCTAAAGGTGGGAGGGCACATTTATAGAATTTTGACATTCCTTTTAGACATGTCCTTATAATGAAATTTTTATCTTCTTCAATTTAGTAAATATGAAAGTCCACATGTCAAATAGGTACTCTATGCCACCCTAGAAAATCCAATATACTGTCCCTTTTCAATTCTGTATAAACGAGGCTGGTGCAGGAATAAGTCCTTAATTGTTTTTATCTCTATCTGCATCCCCCAAGCATTAAAACTATCTAATCCTAATGCCACCACTTATACACTCAACATTTATTGAATCACATTCAGCAGCCATTAATCACTTTTTACCCTGATTAAAAATACTGCCTATGTTTATATAGTTACCTGGACAATTAAATGTGTTACATAAATAGTGATACCTGTAGTAGATTTCTCCAGGTTAGTTTAAATGTAAATAACTCTGGGGGTCAAGATAAATCAAATGGAGACCTTTAATCCTTCTAAGTTAGATGGTACTGACATACACAAGTAAAGGTCAATAAATACACACAGTCGCTGAAATCTTGGTTCTGAAGGCCTAGTTCCGACCTGTCACTCTTACAGAGGTACACTGCACACTCAAAATAGAAAATCCACCAGCTCTGCGACCAATAAATTATGTTGAGATTTACCAAAGTCAGTTAAGCATCGTTCCAGATCTCTGTCCTCTTAAACGATCAAGTCAAAAATGGAGCCTATTTGGCCAAACTCAGATGTCTGGGTATCTATACTGTACGTATTACTCACTCTTCATTTCTGTGATCAGATGCAGTCGCACACATAAGGGAGCCTAAGTTACAAAGTTACCAACCAAACGAATAACAAAACCATTAAGAAAATTAAAAAGCACCCGGACCCAACATTAATTTAAAATGCATTAAATGAGCCTCGGGACTAAGCACTACGTCGATTAGTTGAATAGTCCCCACTGAATTTCCTAAAGGTCTTACGGAAATGCAGGTCGTGAAGAAAGCCAAAGTGTTCGGTAAATTAAGATTTTAGGGCTTCTAAAATGCAAGTGACAGCTGGCTCCCCGAAACGAAAGGGATGGGCGAAAGCAGGGGCGGCTGTAGGAAGGCTCCAACAGACTAGAAGGAAGAGAAGTGGGCCACCCCCAAGTCCAGAGCTCGTCCGAGGATGCAGAAGGGACGGGAGGCGATCTCCTAGGCTAGGGAACGCGGATGGCCAGGCCTCGTGCCCTCCAGAGACTCCCTTGTGCACCACCGGGGGCTCCAACCCAAGAGCGGAGGCCTAACTGGGCAGTAGTCTGGGGCTGCGGCCAGCGCTGGACATCCCGCAGCAGGAGATCGCAAGGGAGTCGGGACCCGGAAAAAGTGAAGGGAAAGCAGGGACGGACACACAGCGCCCACAGGGCTCGCGCCCGGCCTCACCCTCGCATGGTGAACTTGACCACGGCGAGTCTGGAGCCCGCGCCGCTCAGCTCCGGCTGGAAATCTGGGTCGCTCCCGACCGGCTTCACTCCCACCATTCTCAGCCCGGCAGGGCGGCCGCGACGCCACCGGCTTCAAAACTGAAGGAGAACACTCGGGAGAGGAAGGGGAGAGGTTCGGAAAGGCCAAGGCCTGAACACAGGAGGTGCCGACCGCAGCGTCTTCTCCGGGACTCTCAGTGCCGAGTCACGCCAGGGAGCGGAGCGGCCGAGGGGGTGGGGACGGGAGGGGGGAGGGGAAGGGAGAGGCGAGGGAAGGAAAGGCGAGCGGCACCCAGCAGCCACCGCGCGACAGGGCCGCCGGCGCTTGCGCACGTTGGCGTCATTTCCGCGTCGTCCGTTTTGGCTCCTACCACCCAATCCTAAAACGCGACCCCTGGCTTCCCCCCCTCGACTGAAGAGCCCCCACTCCGGCTGGAGCGGCGCAGGCGCGGAAGAGTAGCAGTCACAAGCTCAGACGTGAGTGCGATTTAGAAGTTCGTGTGTACCTCCGCCGTACCAAGATCCGTGGCTTCTACCGAGTTTCCTGGGGTGGGAAAATAAAAAGGAGACCCCTTTTTCCCAGAGGCTCGTGGCTAAGGTTTTTACCCCAGTGCTGGAAGAAGTACTTTGTCTCGTATTCGGGGGGCAGATCGCCACGCTAGACAAAAAGAGACTTTAGGTACGTTGATTTACGGATCTCATGATACAAGGGTGCTCTCTGTGCACTCATCCAGAAAATATCATGCACCTGTTTTTAAGTTGTGCCTGAAAAAAATGAAAGCACCATCCTTCCTTTAGAAACACAGTCAAGTGATAGACGTCAGCTATAGAATAACAAGTATGCAAAGGAAACGGTGGGGACAAATGAGACAGGATGGGGCAGGGTAAACTTGATGGAAATTGTGGCCCTGAGCTGGATCTTGACGGAAGAGAGCCAAATGGTGAGAGGAGGCAGGAGTATTACAGGCAGAAGAACGAGCAGCACCGATTCGTGGTTTGGAAGGGCTGATGATGTTAATAATAATAGTTAATAAATTATGCGCTAGACAAGATACATGCTCTTTGTGTATATTAGCTCATTTAATCCTCACAACAACCTTGTGAAGTAGGTTCTTTTATTTCACGGTTAGACGAATTTTCCCTAGTTCACACACCTAGTAAGATGTCAAATCAGCATTCAAGTTGAGGTCGTCTTAACACCAGTGTGTTCTTTTAAAAAGTCAGGCTACGTGACAAATGATTTGCTTTTGGGTTTAGCTGGGGTGATGAAATTGAAGAGGAAGATAGAGGTCTGATTAGGACTAGCTTAAGAAATTTGTATTTTAACATGAATGCAATGGAGTAATCACTGTAGGGCAATTTTTTTTTTTTTTAATTACAAGAAAGTGTCTTTAGAGAAAGCCCTGCTACCTCAGGGTAGGCTGGAAGGCAGTAAGACAAGTTTAGGTTACTGCAGTAATCCAGGAAGTGAGTTATGGGAGAGCTGGAGTGGAAATGAAGAGGACATAATTATTTGAGAAGCAATTAGCAGCTAAAAATCACAGGATTTAGTGACCAATTGGACCAATTTAGAGCAATGACAGATGAAGGAGTCTAGGATAGTGAAATATTTCAATCTTGTGGCTCTTTGTACTAAGTTAAGATGCCAGTAGGACATCTAGGTAAGGAGTATAGCAGACAGTAGGAAGGTTGAGTCTGGAACGAAAGAAAAAGGAGTAGGCTAAAGTTGAAGATTTGAGAGTCATTAGTTTTAAGGGTGAAAATTGAAGCCCAGGAACACAAACAATTTGGAGACCAGATGGCAATTGTTGTCCCCGTTCTACTGATGATGAGGCTGACTTTCAAGAAGTGTATAACTCATTCAGTTATACAATTGTACGGCTGCTTAGCCCCCAACATTGCACCCAACATTATATTGAAACAGACTTTATATGCATAGAAATTTTTAGCAGATGTTATTGCAAGGTGATTCTCTACTGAGTGTTTTTTCCTCTATATTTTACAAATCTCTTCAATAATTATAAATAGTATATATAAGAAGAAGAAAGAAAGAAGATGCAGCTGGGGGGAAAAGTGCTATACAAAAATTCTACAAAGAAGGCCCAAGTTTCTTCCTTACCCTATTAGTAGTAATTAAAACAAAAATAATATTCACAGTTAATTGGTCTCCTATGAAATTTAGGTAATGTTTAATATCATTAAGTAAAATAAACTTTTGGTGGATGAAATTTTCCCCCAAAATGTTATTTTTTTAATTTCTTTATACCACCCTGAAAACCCCATTTACTAGAATTTCCATGAAAATTTTAGAAAAACTTACCATTAAACTTCTGCAAGGATGACTTGAGATTATTTTTAAAAGGATGATACACTTTCTCCATTCCTGAGATGAACATATTCAGAAATGCAGAATACACTGCACATAAACTCCCTCCACCCCGTCCCTCACTTGGTGGGCATCACTCTTAGAGGACACGGTTTCCCAGGGTCTATTTAGCCTCAGCCTCAGAATTCTATTCAGCTCCACCCACTACCAGAATCAGCAGTCAGGATGAAACCTATCTGCCATCTCACGTCTTACTATAACTGTTATGACCTGAAATCCATAGATCTCAAACTGCAGTGAGCTTATTAAAATGTGGGTTTCTGGTGTCACACCCAGAAATTCTGATTCAGTAGTGCTAGTGCATGGCCCAAGAATCTGAATTTTAACAGGTATCCAGAGAAGCTGATGCAAGGAGTCCATATTTTTAGAACCATTATTTGCTCCTACTTGTCTACTGTCACATAGCATTTAGAATGCATTTAATATGTACAAGGTACTGTGATAATGCTTTGAAACACCTTTCTTCCAGGGACATCAAAAGGGAGATAAGACACTTCTACAAAAGCTAATAATACAAGGTAAAATGTGGTAAGTGCCATAGCAGAACTATAGATAACATACTATAGTGGTTGAGAAAAAGAAGAGAACATTTCCAGCTGGAATGAGCAGAGAATGCTTTATGAAGTAGTATGTTCTAATATTCAGGCCTGGATAAAAATAAGAAATGCATAAATTTCTTCATTCACAGAAATGACTCCTGACTTTCCTCTTAACTCATCAAGAATATAGTTCACTTTAGACTCACCCATTTTTATTAAGCTCAGCCAGTCACTAGAGGAAGCTTTTCTATCATAACTTGTAGCTGCCATGGGTTCACTTGGCTGACTTTACATATAGATATGTTGGAGATACATCATCCGTGGCTTTATCTCTCCCATAGCCCTTTGCCCATGGTAGGTACAAAATGAGTATCGGTTGGATAAATGAATGGCTAGGAAGCATAATAAGTATCGCAAAATGCAGGGGTACAAGAAATATTACTTTGATGTATAACTCAATATCATTTTGACTCTGAATCCTCACCCTCCTCCTGTAGTCAACTAGAACAAAAACAACCTTATCTCCTCCTCTGCCTGCTTCAGAAATTGTACCAAATTTCTGGATTTAGAGTGGAAGTGGGGCTTTGGAGTCTAGATGTCTAGGAGCACTGTCTCTTTCTACACACCATCTTGAAATCTAGCTCTTTCTGCTTCATATGACTACCTCAGGGATTGGGACCCTTTGTTTGAAGCTGCCTATAGACCCATCTGCCTAGACGTACCAGTCTGCCATTTCTTCTGGGGTGTTCTTCGTCCCTTCTCCCCTCCATAAAGATTTTCCCTTGTTTTCATTAAGAGTTTTATACTTTCAGCTTTTAAGTTTATTTGATCCACCATCCACCTTTTTGAGCCAATTTGATGCTAATCATTTAAAAGTATTCTCATGATAGGAAAGAAAGGCACAATTTTCCAGTTTCATATATATTTGTGTGTTTGTTGGGGAGGCAGTATGCAATAACCATAAAATCGCTGATACGAGTTTTTCTTTAAATGTAGTCCTCTTGTAAAAAGTGGAGGAAATGCCACTTTCTGATTTTTTGAAGAGCAATAGCAAGAATATAATGTAGAGAGAACTTTTATTCTACAAAAAAAGTCTTCATAAATTCCTCTGAGATATAATATACCTCTTTAAATAACTGAATTTGTATTTGCAGAAGCCCAAGTATATAGATTTATTGAATTCCATAAACCATATGAAATCCCCCATTAACTTATCAAAATTACAACTACCCCAAAATTCTACATAAAAATGACTTCTGCCTGGGGTGCCTGGGTGTCTTGGTCGATTAAGCGTCTGACTCTTGATTTTGGCTCAGGTCATGGTCTCAGGGTTGTAAGATCAAGCCCTGTACAGGACTCTGGGCTCAGGGAGGAATCTGCTTCTCTCCTTCTATCTCCTCCTCTGTCCCTCCCCCGCTCATGCTCTCTCTGTCTCTGAAATAAATAAATCTTAAGAAAATAACTTCTGCTTAATAGCTTATTGTTACCTTATTCCTGAAGAAGTAGAAAACATATCAGTTTAATTCTTTAATCAACCTGGTAATTTATTTAAAAAATAATTTTAGATAAGCTTTGATTTATTCTTAAAGTCTTGAGGGAAAAATATGTAATTTATGTAATATAAGTATTAAGTAGAAAGGACATCCTGCTTCATAATTTCCAAACCTTTTCTAGTAGGCTTTTGAATTTGAAAATTGAATACCATTTCCTATGGCTGTCCCTAGGTGGCGCAGTGTCTTTCAGTCAAAGGGGTATGATTTCCCCTTAGATATCAAATGCTTTTTTTTTTAAGATTTTATTTATTTATTTGACAGAGAGAGACACAGCGAGAGAGGGAACACAAGCAGGGGGAATGGGAGAGGGAGAAGCAGGCCTCCCACTGAGCAGGGAGCCTGATGTGGGACTCGATCCCAGGACCCTGGGATCATGACCTGAGCCCAAGGCAGAGGCTTAACCACTGAGCCACCCAGGTGCCCCTCAAATGCTTTTTTTCTTTAATTTAATTTTATTATGTTATGTTAATCACCATACATTACATCATTAGTTTTTGATGTAGTGTTCTATGATTCATTGTTTGCGTATAACACCCAGTGCGCCATGGAATATGCAATACGTGCCCTCTTTAATACCCATCAGCAGGCTAACCCATCGCCCCACCCCCCTCCCATCTAGAACCCTGTTTGTTTCTCAGAGTCCATAGTCTTTCATGGTTCGTCTCCCCCTCCGATTTCCCCCCCTTCATTTTTCCCTTCCTACTATCTTTTTTTTTTTAACATATAATGTATTATTTGTTTCAGAGGTACAGGTCTGTGATTCGTCAGTCTTACACAATTCACAGCGCTCACCATAGCACATACCCTCTCCAATGTCTATCACTCAGCCACCCCGTCCCTCCCACCCCCCCAGCACAAATGCTTCTTTAAATAATGCTGTCAAGTCCCCAGACGGACCATTTGCCCCACTAACACCATATTCCTTAGTTTTGGATGCTAGGCAGTGTCTTGGAGGAGAGAGTTTTCTAGGAAATCATGGAGTGACCCATCACCGTCGTAAATCTCGTCCTCCTAGAACATACTGAAGAAACTTGCTAGCAATTCTGAGTCAGTTTTGGATGCTTCCCAGGAGTGTAAAACAGCTTTTTTATTCTGAAATTTATATCTGAGGTTCAGAAGTCATTAAGCTGCCTAGAGTTGCTATTAAGAAGGCTAGATAGATAAATATTTCTATCACTTCAGCCTTTGAGATAAAAATCCATATTTTAATTTTTTAAACAGTGTGTTGGGAGTTAGAATTAACTCTTTGAAACTGAAAAACTACACATGCCTTCATATAACTGTGTTTTCACTTAATCACTCGTAAAGAGTTATTTTTTGGCTTAAGGTAGTGTAGTAGAGATTGTCTGATTAGAATGTACACTTAGAGAAGAAATGCCTCCCAATAAAGACTTTTGCTGTGCCCAGAACCCTCTCTCAGGCATGCCCTTGAGCAAACACATACACCAAGCATATACAACCTCATCAGTCAGCCCATTCCTGAGGGGCAGTATGTGCATACTCTCAGTACCTCTGAGGGCCAGGCACTGCAGATATTCAATAAAAATAAAATGTATGTTAGCTTCTATCCAGTAAGGAAGTGGTTATTTACACAATGTTAAAAACAGTATTTTCCACCAAAATTCAGAATATTAGAATCAAGAAAATTAGGGGGATCAGACCCAACTGGTAGAAAGTACCAAAGCACACCACTTCTCACACTTCTTTGCACTCATTGTAGATGTATCTCTCTCCCTGCTAGACTGAACATTTTGACCACAGAACCAGGTTTTGCACTATCTGAATGTCCATCTCAGCGTAGCACCCAATACCACTGGATGTTGAATAAATGATGCTTTCCACCTTGCCAAATTATATTTAGGACAAGTAAAAGAAAGTACTGTTTCATGAAAATAGAATTAAAATTAAAGTACTCATAGACACTGCCCCCGGCCCCACCCAACCCAGATTATTGTGGAGCAAATGCCAGGCATCATATAATTTCATCTGTAGTATTTTAGCCTGCATGTCTAGAAGATAAGGATTCCTTTAAAAATAACCTTCATAACCAAAATACCATTATCACACCTAAAATGTTAACAGTGCTTCCTTAATATCATCAAATATTCACTTAATGTTAAAATTCTCATTTTCTCCTAATTTATTTTATGACTTATTTGAATCAGTATCAAAATAAGGTATATACATTGCATTGGTTGATATCTATCTCATCTCGTTTTTTTTTTTAAGATTTTATTTATTTATTTGAGAGAGAGAAAGAATGAGCTGCGTGAGGGGCAGAGGATGAAGCAGACTCCCTGCTGAACAGGGAGCCCAATGTGGGACTCGATCCTGGGACTCTGGGATTATGACCTGAGCCGAAGGCAGACACTTAACCGACTGAGCCACCCAGGCACCCCTGTTTCATCCCGTTTTTATTAAAACTTTATTTCTTTTTCCTGAATTTTTATTTGAAACGATTCAAATGGACAGAAAAGTTGCAGCAGCAACAGAAATACCAGTAGCAGAAGTGGAGGAAGAGGGAGAAGAAGGTGGCACAGTGAGAAGGAGGGTGCACTTTCTTGCTAGCCACTGGGGACTCCCCAACAAGAGTGTGCTCATGACTAACTTTGCTGTGCTCAGATGTTTGCCAGGGCTGCCCCAAGAATAGGTAATCCCAGCTGGAAAGCTGAGGAGACCCTGAAGAAGCTTGTAGCAGGAGCAGTAAGCAAACCCTCTCCATGGACCTCGAAAGTGGAATTTCCTGGAAGGAAAATCTGGGCAGTGCATCTTTGTGTCTTCCATGGTCCACTTTGTGACACATGGATCCTCTTCTTGGCAGGGGATTGAAGAACAACTCTCCCCCGGCTCTGGTGGTTCTCTCATCCTGACGGGAGAAAGAAGAGAGAGGTTAGTAGGACAAACTACAACCCTTGTTGCTACAGCCTATGACAGTGCATCATGCCCTTCTTTTTTTTTTTTAAGATTTTATTTATTTATTTGAGAGAGAGAGAGAGAGCATGGGGGAGGCACAGAGTGAGAGGGAGAAAGAGTTTCAGGAGACTTTGTGCTGAGCACAGAGCCCGATGCGGGGCTCAGTCCCAGGACCCTGAGATCACAACCTGAGCTAAAACCAAGAGTTAGCTGTTCAACCAACTGCACTACTCCAGCACCCCTCAAGTCCTTCTTTACTATCCTAATTTCCCCTCATTGATCTTGGTAGCTTGATGAGGGACTCCAAACCCTTGTTTGTGAGGAGCTCAAGCACTCCCAACTTTAACACGTTCACTCTTTCTTAGAAAGTGTAAGTATGAACCAAATAGAGAGATTTCTAGAGAAAGACATCCTGTTACTTAGAAGAAATTGTTTGATTTAGCGGAAGTCATGAGATAGGAAAAAAGAAGTCTCACCAGTTGACTTTCATGTCATGTGAGAAAGTACAAAGGGAAGCTCTTAAAGAATTATAATTACGCAAAACCATGCAAAGAACACTTACTAATCTACTCTGCTGCAACATGATAAATTGTGAAGACCGCTAGTACTAACATGAAGCTCCCAACCGTGACATGACTTCTAGGCGAATGGGTCCACTAAGGAAGGGACAGAATTAGCAAAGTATTAGGCCCTGTGGGGAACACCAAATCACAGATTTACAACCTACAGGAAAAAAATAATAGCACACATGAAACAATCTGGAAATGACAGTAGTAATGAGGCTAGTTGGACCACCAGGCAGAAATTTGTAAAATGCAGGAGCAAATCTCCTTGCCTTTTGGAAAACTAACTTGGAACTTAGAAAGTCCAGGAAGCATTGGTGTATTGTAGGGTAATTGTTACTAAATTCTAAAGATAGGGTACTACTTAAGTTTTATTTTTTTAAATGCCTATATCATTAAAACATAGCATGTTAAAATTTTTGACCCTTACCCCATGCGTTCTGTTTATGGTTCTCTTCTGGTAACAACTATACGTTATTGGTTAAAACAGTGATGACAACTTCTCCTTTGTCTCCGTGCCTCTCTGTCTCCTCCACCTAGTGTACATGATGCATTGTTGCCGGGCCGATTTTTGTGGCTGACACACCCTCCAGGGATTCCCCAGTGAGCCACACTCTGTCCAATCCTCCCTCCTTGAGTGCACATGATACCTGTCACTTGCTTCTAACCAGTAGAATATGGCAAACAGTGACGGGCTGTCACTCCCTTCATTAAGTTACTATCTGCAGATTTATCTGTCTTTATCTATATCTATAGCCATATAACTCTATCTTTCTTGCACCCACTAGAGAGATGCTCTTTGCTGGCCTTGAAAAAGTAAGCTGCCACATGAAAGGTCTTTGGTAAGGCTCAGGTGACCAGGAACTGTAGGTGTCCTGTAGGACATGAGGGTCCTTAGACATTTATCCACAAGGACAGGAATCAGATTCAGATTCTTCCCTAGTTGAGCCTCCAGATGAGATTGCAGTCTGACTGACATCTCAATTGTCGCCTTGTGTGATCACAGAGGACCCAGTTAAATTGTGCCTGAACTCCTTTCCCATGGAAACTGCGAGGCAGTACTAAACTTGTGGGAATTTGTTATATAGCAATAAAACCAAATGTAATGTTGTTAGGAAAAGCACCACTCTAATATATTGGTCAAAAGTGTTCAGTGGCTTTTCACTTCCTTTGGAATAAAGTCCTGAAGGCTTCTAAGGGCATTCAAGGCCTCTCCTTATCTGACCTTATTCTATTTTCCCCATGTTATTTTTTTATTACTGGGCTTAGGCCCAATCTGAGAAAGACTGTATCAACCAAAGAGAGAGTTCCAGGGCAAAGATTGCCCATTGAAGGAGTCCCTCATGGGGCAGAAATAACTAAGTCTTAATACCACAGTTTCCCTTATATCTGCTTTACGTCCCCTGTACTTCACTTCTAATTTAACTCTCTGTTTATTATATATGTGTCTATATATATTCGTGTTTTACATTTCATATGTTATATGTATACACACAGTTGTATACATTTCAAAACTAGCAACAAAATTGTTTTCCTTTCCCAGTTCTTCCTATTCCAAATCCAATTCGTTTTTGTAGACCTCCATGAAATCTAATGTGATTATCCTTCCTCATCTCAGCCTAGAAGTAACTCATCTCTTCTCCACTACTCCTTATGTACTCCTTATTTCTCATACTGTGCTATATTATAGCCATACGTCTTGGGGGAAATTTGCCATTCTTTTTAGCTGCCCAAACACTTTCCAATGTTTAGAGAATTCCTCATTTTGTGAGCCTTGGTGGGAAGCAAAGCTTGCTTTCCTCTATAGAACTGAACATGCCAAATTCTTCCTTTCTTGGCTTTGCTTTCAGTTAAGGTTCAATAAATTGATGTTGAACTGGATTTTTTGGTTGTGTAAATCTTTTAAGATTTTTGTATAATTCCTCTAGATGACAGGAATAAATAATTTACTCAAAAAATATACTCAGGATCAACTACTGAAGGTCCAAGTCTTAATTTTCAGGAAGGTTACACATGTAAAATATATATGTGCATATAAAAATGTGTGAATTTTTCTGAAACAGAAGCATGTTATTCATTAATGTTTGAATCTTTATTTTAGTCCTGTGGCTCAGGAGATTGCATGCATTTATATATAGACTTTGGCAATACGTTTTGTAAACTTGGTAGAGAGGGGCCAGAGTGTTAGTAGTCTGAAGGTTTCTCATTAATCTTCCTATTAACCTTTGTATTCCTAGGAAGGTATTTGAACCATGTAAGTTCAATTAATATTTGTTGAATAAAAGTCAACTTTAGGAGGGATATTTTATAGATTTCCTTTACAAACCAAACAAGCGTTAATGAAGCCTAAGATTATCCCCTGGTAACCACTCTGCTTCCTGTATTTCCAAAAAGTTCTTGTAAATTGTAAAGGGGATTATGAACTTAATGGTTTAAATGTATTCATCATCACAACAGAGTGAATGAGTATATTGAACCCAGCTGTCCAAAGAATTAATTTCTTCTATTTAACATAATTTCCCTGCTCTTCCTCTGCCCCCATGTGATTGCAAGGCAGTTAGTCAAAAGTTGAAGAAAATCGTAGACTCCCAATTTGCAGTATAAGACAGTTTCAGAATTGCTGATTTTCAAGTGTTCTCTTGACTTCCTTGGTCAACATTATGATTTAGTTTTTCTCAAGATGGCAGCAGAGCTGTACTCTACAAATAAACAGCATATAGGAAACAACACCTTAGACATAAAGGAGGCTAAGGGGCCTAGTGAGGGAAAAGGGGGTGTGCCCCCCAGAACAGTGATAGGTCTGCAATGTGTTGCAGGGAGGAGGACTGTCTATGCTGGAAAGAAGGGGAGGAAAGAGTTTGTCATTTGCAGGAATAATAAATTGACAGGAAGCCTTTTGACTAAACCAACACTTAGGTCTCTTTTGACAGGAAAGGATCCTGTCTCAAGGAGTTGTTTCTGCCCTGTTCTAATCCCCTAGTGAATCCCCTGCTTCCGACCCATCCAGCAGGATTTTGCTACCCAGGACTCAATCCAAGGACCAGAAGCAAAGGGAACCTGGGAACTCCTTAGCAATGGAGGATCTCAGAAACCCACTTTAGACCTACTGAATCAGAAACTTTATTTTGACAGCCTCCCCAGGTGATTCGTTTACAGAACTTACTTTTGGGGACTGCAATGGAATTCTTGTCCCATAAATCCGTTGGTGAGATTATGAAGGACAAACTGACCATTGGCTGCCAGCATCGCCCCAGTTTCTCCCTTGGCTACTATTCATTAGTTCAACAAATATTTGGGAGGCAGATGGGCAGTCGTAATAAGTAATTAACATTTATTGAGCTCGTTTAGCCTCCTAGATACCCATGAGGTTATTATGCCTATTTTTTATATGGGGACTTGAGAATGAAGACAAGTATCATGCCCCAGATGACAGTAACAGTGCGCACTGGAGGCCCCGGAATCCCAATGCAACCCTCTCTGAATTCAGATCTCCCGCTCCACCAGGCTCTACCGCCCACACAGAGAGTGTACATTCATTCCCTCTTCTCTACAGGAATGTTGTACAAGGTCAGACTTCCTCTAGTCCAGAAGCAGAGTTCCTCCTCTGGCTCTCTGTGTCGTGGGCAAATTTTAAGTTCGAGGTCAGAAGGAAACAGTAACTGAATTCCAGAGCTAACACTTTCCAAGTGTCTGGACAGAGCCGCAGGGCAGAAGAGTAAACTTGCAACATCCTGGGAACACCTAGACTTGCCATTTCATTCTTCCCTCCATCTTGGTCCTCCCAGGATGAGCATTGGAGGCGAGACGAGAGCCTAGACCACACTTCCCATAATAAAAATGGCGGCCGTGCACTCTTCGCCCACATTCGACACCCTAACCTCCGTTCGGTCTCCTTGGTAACCTGGCCAGCTTCTCTGGCTCTAGCCTCGGCCAGGCAAGTATGGAAATGATGATCATTTCCCTCCCCCTCATTTTTGCGACAGTTGCAGCGAAAGTCACGGCAGTTGGGTGTCAGCTGATTTACTGCAGCGGCGGCGGTGGCAGCGGCGGCAACGGCACCTTGCAACCTCTGTGGGGAGACGCCGGCTGGGCTCGGGTTGTGGTTTGCCTACCCGGATTTGAGCACCCCACATCTTCCTCACATAACGTCCTCGCCTTGTCCACCTTTGACGGGGCGCCCACGGGTGGTGGGACGGACAACATCGCGGCATGAGATGAAGCTGTGACAGGTGAGGAGGCTTTCGAGCTAATCCAGGGGGAACCCCAGCGTGGGACGTGCTTGCAGTGGAGGTCAGGGGCCGGGGGTCAAGGGTCACAGTCAGTTCTGGCCGGGGACGGTGCCAGCTGTTCGAGCGCTGCTGATGGAAGTTCTCTGTTCTTGACCGAGCCTGCAGGTTCAGGCCCACAGCTAGGCGCCTTTGCCTGGAGCGGGGATTCGACCAGGGGTCTTTGGGGTTCCTTGGCCTGGTGAATGACATTTGCTTCAGGCGACACTGGCTTTGGTTTTGAGATGGGACCGTCCTGCCCTCAGTGGCAATCTAAACAGTGAGGTGGTTTGTGATGATGAGTGGGTGGTTATTGACTGTGCTTTCGGATAATGTGCTTGCTTTTGGGGTACCATGCTCTCCTTACCTATTGGTACTTCTCTCCAGTTTGCCCTTGCCTAAGGTATTAACGTCTGTTAGAGTTTCATCTTTGAGGTGCCACCTGCCTGCCCTCCATCCTTTTGCCCTGGGACTTGGCTTAAGGATACCTGCTACTCCCACTTACTTACTTTTGGGTCCCAGCGTTCTGAAGCCATATGTTTGGAGTCAGCATTACCCTGCCCTTGATTCAAAAATTGCGTTTTATGTTTTGATTCACTTGCTTTGTCAATTTCTCAGGTCCCAGGCAGAATTTGCTGGTTCTTGTAGCTTGAAATTATGGCAGGTACAGTTGCATCTTAAGACAGCATTGGCAATGTTGATGCTACGGATTTTAGGATTCAGTGAGAGGAACAGCTTGCTTTCATGGTAACATTTGCCATAAGCCAAAAATGGCAGGCTATGACTCTTTTAGATGCTTATTGCTTAGGACTTTATGAATAAGATGGCAAGAATCGCAGGGTGTAAAAGAAAAATTGAGTTTTTGAAATTTTGGTATGACACAGATTTTCTTGCTTTATAAGCTACTTGTGACAGTGGAAGTGGAGAGCAGTTTGAAAGTAAAAATAGTGTGTTGAAAGGCCTTTATTTACGAAGAATCCAAAACTGCCTTGATTTCATTGAAAATAACATCTTAGTTATTTCAGATTGGGAAAACAGTATAAATAGATAGTAAATGCCTTGTTAATTTCAACAAGAGATTCTTACAGAGAATTTATTTACTTAAATGTCTATCTTTATTTTTAAAATACTCCAGAGCTCTACTTAAAACTAGACTATACATTTTTTTCTTACTGCCACCTGTACATAGCTAAATTTTAAAAGATTTGGTAGGTAAATCAAAGGGACTGGGCCTTACTTTATTTATCATTATGGGAACTTACATTTTGAGTAGAGAATCTTGTATCTTATAATTTCCTTTTATTTTCATCTTGGATATAAGTTCTGTTTTGAAACAAAGTGAGTGGGGTGGTTTATCTATTTAACAGGCTTAGCATTGAACACTTTAAAAGTAGTGAGCTAGTTTTTGTGTCTTTGTCATGAGAAAAGCAGGATAACATTTAGCTTTAGTAGCATTCTCTGTGTTAGGTGTGAGTACTTAAAAAGTTTGTTTTGGACCTCAGGTGAAGAGAATTGAATTAATTTTCTCAATTCATTGATCATTGGCTGTTCAAGGTGTGTTTCCTGTTTTTTTTTTATTCATTGTATTTTATTTCCAATTCCCACTCCATTTCCTTGCTCATCAACCCATGGGAAACCGTTTTTAACATGTGTGATGTGTATCCTTATGTTCGTATGTGTTATTAAATGTATATTGTTTTGGGTGCCCACATTTTTGATTTTTAGAGATATGGTATATTTTGTATATGTTACATATCACGTATGTTATATAATATTGTATATTGAAAATTTTTTTCTCTTCCTACCACGTTTTAAAGATCTATTTGTGTCACTCTCCATTGCATCTGACTGCTGCACAGTATTTCAGAGAGTATATCCGTGACAGGTTTCCACCTACTCTCCTATTTGCGGATACCCATTTTACCTTTATTTTCCTACTGCTGTAAACAATTCTATAATAAACATACCTCCAAGATCTCTGTGATGCTTTCTTTGAGATTTACATCCAGGAATGTGATTTCTGGATCACAAGGCATTCATATATTTTATCAAAGGACTGCTAGATTGTGTTTCAGAACAAACTGTAATAGTTTATACCTCTGCAGACAGGTCTGGGGGGTTTCTGTGCCCTTGTAGCTCCACTGTTGCTTAGTGTTACCCAGTGTCCTAGTTTTTCCACACTAATTGGTACAAAGTAAAATCTCATTTTAAATTACATTTCACTATTACTAAGGAGTTTGAGGATTTCTTCGTGTGCATTTTATCTTTTTGATTTTCCCTCTTGTAAAATTGTTCATCCCTTTCTCATTTTTGAGGTTTCATTCCTTGTTGATCTGCAGAAGCTCTTGTATTTCCTTAGATACTAGTCTTTTAAATATTTTAAGTATCCCTGTTCCTATTTTGTCATTTGTCTGTAACATTTTTCATAATGTGCTTCATTGAACAGAAATCCTCAATTTTGATGTAGTCAGATTTTTAAAAATTTGCCTTATGGTTTGTGCTTTGGGGGTTTTAAGAAGTCTTTTCCCAAATCCTATGTCATAAAATTACTCTTATTTTGTGTTCTACTAACTTCATAGTTCTCCGTGAAATGTGTGGGTCTTTAGTGCATCCTGAGTCTTTTTATATGTCACAAGGAAGAGATTCAGTTTATTTTCCATATAGTGTGCCAGTTTTCCAAGTGGCATTCTCTCCTTTACCCTTAGATAAGATGCTACACTCATTGTATATCAAGTTCTCATACATACTCTGAATACTGTCTTGTGTTCCTTTGGTTTGTTTGCTCTTGCTGTAATACCATGTGATTTTCACACAATGGCTTTGTATTAATTTTTTTCCCCTATGTGAATAATTCTTCCCATTTTGTTTTAGCCTGTGTTTGAAATAATTATGGATCATAGGAAGTTGCAAAAATAGTACAAAGAGGGCTGGTTTCCCCAGTGGTTACATTTTATATAACATCACCCAATTTCCCGCAATTGTTACATTTTATCCAACTATATATAGTATAACAGCTAAACCCAGAAATTGACATTGGTGCAATGCCTGTGAATGGCTCAATGCCATTTTATCACCTGTGTAGATACCTGTAACCATCACTGCAGTCAAGATAGAGAACTGTTCCATCATCATGAAAATCTCCTTCCCACTACACCTTTTGAATCACATTCATCTCCTTTCAATCCCCAACCTCTGCTCACTAATCAGTTTTACATCTCTATAATTGTATCTGTACAGGAAGTCTGTATAAATGGAATTACACAACATAAGATTTTTTGAGATTGAGATTCATCCAAATTGTTGCATGAGATAATTTTTGAGATTCATCCAAATTGTTGCATAATTTGAGTAGCATCCCATGGTATATGTGTACTGCAGTTTGTGTAACCATTCACTGGGACATTGGGGCTCTTTCTAGTTTTTGGCTTTTAAAAATGAAGGTGCAATGAACATTCTTGTACAATGTGTGTGTGTGTATATGTATATGTACGAAGTTTCACGTTTTCTGGGATAACTGCCTTGGAAGGTGATTGCTGGGTGGTATGATAAGTGTAGGTTTAGTTTGTGAAGAAACTGCCACACTGTTTTTGCAGAGTGGCTGCACCATTTTATGTTCCCAGCAGCAATGTATGAGAGATAGAGTTTCTTTGCATCCTTGCCAGCATTTGGTATTATCACTATATTTTTATTTTATTTTTTTAAAGATTGTATTTATTTATTTGACAGAGAGAGAAAAACAGCAAGAGAGGAACACAAGCAGGGAGTGGGAGAGGGAGAAGCAGGCTTCCCGCCGAGCAGAGAACCTGATGTGGGGCTCGATCCCAGTACGCTCGATCATGACCTGAGCCGAAGGCAGATGCTTAACGACTGAGCCACCCAGAAGCCCCGCTATATTTTTATTTTAGCTGTTTAGATGTGTAGTGATATCTCATTGTGGTCTTAATTTGCCCCTCCAAATGGCTAGTGATATTAAGTATCTGGTGGGGCAAGTTCTCCATTCTTTGCCCATTTTCAAAGTTGGTTTAGCTATTTGTGGATTTTTACTCTTTTCTATATATTTTAGAGCTAGAGTTTCTAAAAACAACATAACTAGAATTTTGATTGAGGATGCATTGAATATATAGATTTATTTTGGGGAGAATTGAACTTTGTAATACTAGGTCATCTTATCCAAGAACATTGAATGGTCTTCCGTTTATGACTGAGCAGAATTTTTGTTGTTGTTGTTTAAAAAAATATTGTGCCTAGATACTATTTTAAAGTAGATTATTGTAGATAGAAGAAAATGCTACTTATTTCCATATATTGATTTTATCTTTGTTGTGTTCTACGAGACAGAGACCAAAATTCATAGTATAAATCTGGAAATAATTTTAGTATTTGTAGTATTAGGCCTGGAACTAGGTAGTGCCTTTATTCCTGGTTTGTCTATTACATTTCTCTGTGACACTTATCTGTTTGTTGGGACAGGTGATTAAAAATATGTGGTTAGTGAGGTTTGTACGTTCTTTTCCCATTTTGTCCCTTTCATTGTTGCACTTTATACAAAGTTCATAGTCTTAGCTATGTGCGTGCCATTGATCATCAAAAGAACCAGCTGAGAGTTTTCCTATGGCCCAGTGAAATCCTGTCATCAATAAAGAGGATACCTTATGTTCCTACTTACAGATACTGTGATTATGATGTCAACTTAGAATCTGAACTCTCTGCATGTGGTTCATCTGATGACTTAAAACTACTTTGCTAGTGAGAGCACAAAAAATTTTGTTGGAAGGAGAAGCCCTACATCATGACTGCTTTTAGAAAGTCTTTGTCTAAGTGGAATTTTTATTTTTTTCTATTAACACATATACTATATTCATGAAACATTAAATACTTTAAATAAAATAAGGCATCTTTTCCAAAATGTGTTGGTGATGTTTAATGAACATGTAGGGTCCTCCCCCCCCCCCCCCTGATAGTTG